ATTCAGGTCTGGTATTCTTCTTACAAGCTGTAAATTTAAGTTTCTCAGGTATTTGCGACTAAAAGCGAGCTCTTAGTGTTTCTGTCTCCTCACTCCATGTTTTTTCCTTCCCCCTATTCACTGCATCATTAGTACTGTTTGTGCTACTGTGTCGTTCTGGCATAAAGTAAGCAGGTTTTCATGCTGATGGTCTCCAAGGTCAGTTAAGTAGCAGCCATACAAATGCTGCATTGAATTCAGGAGAATAAACTGAAGCACAGTTTTAGCTACATACTAAAGGGCTGTAATGGGAACCAACAAAATTAAAAGTGGCTAGCTAGGAGTTAATCTTTCAGAACTAATAAATTCAGAATTAATATAGAGTGGCTTAGGCCTCTTTTCTCCATATAATTAAGAACCCAGATTCCAAATTTTGATCTTTTAACACAACTGATTTTCAGAGAGCATAGTCCTGGCAACCTGTTTGAATTCAGGTATTGCTGCACTGCTGAATATCTCAAGCACTGTCTGTCCCTAAGGCTTCTGAGGAGGTTGCAAAATGTCTTTAATGTCTGACTAATTAATTTTACCTATTGGAAGAGTTTTCTCAATCTCATTAATAGGAATAGCAAATCCTTTCTAGAATAAATGTAATATCCTGGTTTTAATGATACTACGTGTCAGAGGGCACCAGTGGTTAATGAGACAAGATTTTGAAATGTTCTTTATTTTGTCTCTTTAAAATAAGCATGTTTCTTTCCTTCCAGTAGCACTATGCTTCCTAGTGAAATAGAAAATGGGATCATTATCTGTATCTCTTTTACCAATTTACAAAACTGTAGTATTACCTCTATACATCTCTTTTCCTGTAGGTGCAGTACAGTTCACTGAAACCTGTCTTCTCTCTGCCCCTCTTAGTGTTTTGATTTGTCATTGCTCTTGCTCTGTTTCCAGTTGATAGCTTGAAGGATGGGTGTTTAAAACTGAGCAGTGTCCCAAAAGGACAATATGGGATATTTTCAGATATTATTTTCTGCTATATGTTATGTTATAGTTGAGGTTACTGACAAAGCTTTTTCTGACTGGTTGTATTTCTGTTCAGAAGACTGCAGTCTTAGAGCCCTGACAATTAATTTCTGTGTGTACTAATTTACATTTGTTGATATGAACACTGAACCTGGACCCTTTCCCTAAATCTTCTTTCAGGGTATAACATAGATCTGCTCAGTCTTTCAGTAATGCATGTTTGACTGAAAAAGTACCAGAAGCCATATAACATCTATGCTTGCATGACTACTCATGGTCCTTAAATAACCAGGTACAAAATTCAGGGCCTGATGCTTTTGCTTTTTTTGATCTTCATGTCAACTACTTCAGCTTTTTGAAAGTTATGCCACATTTAAATTTTCAAGGGAATCTATGTAAAGCAAAGAAAATGTAAAAAGTGAAGTAGATATGGCAGAGTAGTTTTGTAAACATTCTGCCAAGTCACAGTCCCCTTTTTCTTACTTGATTCTCTAAGTTTCAGTTTCTGTAGAACCAGCTTGTGTATCCAGTTGCATGTTTCTCTCCCTTTATCAATCTGCCTGCAGCAGGACAGTGCAGGCAGTTTCCTTTTGTGTGCCAAGGACACTCTGGCCAGCTTTAAACAAAACAAGTCAAAGATCCTGAGGTTGCCTGAGGCTGAGGACATGACGCTGCCCATGTCCTCGTGTGTCAGTTTTCTTCCTCCCAGCACAGACTGGTGATGCCCAAACTGCATTTGGGAGCAGTGTCAGGTGCAGCTGGACCCAGGGCTGTCCCTGGGAACTCTCTGGGGGTGCTGGTTGGCAGGAGCCAGCGGAGCAGCAGGGAAGGTGCTCACAGATCATGTCTGTGGCCATGTCCCATTGCTTCAGCCAGTGTCACAGGCCTATTTCCTGCTATAAACAAGACCCAAATGTCTGAGCAAGCACCACGAAGAAAAAGAAAACTAGTTCTCATTTTTCTTCTTTTGGGTGATTTTAAATTACAAAGGAAGAAAAGTCATTAGAGCAGATCCCTTTCCTACTGAAATGCCAGGCTAGGAAACAGGGCTGGAGTCTCTGATGTATGTGATTCACCCCTGAGGCAGGACAAAACCTTCTTTTCATTTTCTGACTGTAGTTTAAGTCCCTGGATGGCCTAACCCTTGACACAGCTTTAGAAGCTGGGAAGCTGCTCTGCTTTCTTCTGCATTCTGCCATGATAGCCTTGGGTCTTTTAGAGCAGCTCTCTCACACCCCTGTACCATAAAGGATTATCCTGGTGGTGAGAGAGTTCTTGTCTGCCCTTCTGGGTCACTTTTTCTCTGCTGTGTCTCAGTAGAGCAGGATGAGCAGAATGAGGCCAGCAGGCTCAGCTGTTGGATTTGTTTCTCCTAAATAAAGCGAGGAGTGGATGGGAAGACTAGAGGGGGTTATGTTATGAAACACCACTAAGCCATTAAACTGCTCACTTAGTGAAGAGTGACACCTTTATATTAGCTAAGCACTTTGCTTTGTGTGATAGAAGGAAAAGTGCCATGTATCTAAATTTTTTATTTTTATTCTGAAAGCTATCAGCTACAATTTTTGAGGTGTGTCAGGGTGCATAACATGATGATCTTTGTTATGCAAGGGATGTCATGAGTGTAAAAAGATTCCCTTCTTACCTTAAAAATCAAGCTCCAATAGCATGTGAGAGTTAATTTCTTGGTCCCAGCAGCTTGAATCAGATTATCAGAGGTATGGACCTGAATTCTGGTGAGCTACCTAATGAGAGTATGGAGCTATTCTGGCTGAGGCAACAGAAAGTACTAAGCTCAGAAGACCCCAGGACACCTCTCCTCTCTAGAGTTCATGTACTTCCCTCTAAAAAGCAGCCATATGGAGCCCCATTCCGAGGGGGTACATGATCCTGCTTTACTCTTTCATAATGTAATGGTTGCATTTACTCAAAAAGGAGATGTGGGAGGTTCAAACATAAAGACAAGTGTCCTGACTGTGGAGGTAAGGTATTCTGGGTGCAGAATAACAGTGGGGGCTGTGCCACTGTGTGACTGGGAATGTGGGAGTCTCGCCATCAGAAGGAGAATCCAGGCTGCTGGAAGTATGACTTACTGCTGTCTCTGAATTTCTGCAGAGCAGAAGATGGAGCTGTAGATACAAGAGTGCCTACACTTGTTTACACTCCAGAAACACTGCAGTAGAATTCAGGCACTGGATGGGTTCAGGCATCTCCCAGTTGCATAATTGCTGCCAACATTGAACTTAGACACTTATGTTCTACCCAAGTAAAATTCTAAGTAAAACTCTTTTTTAGTCTTTGTTTGTTCTTACCCCAAATCAATTAACTGCAGCTCCACAGAGTTTGATTTTCTAATCCAGCCATGCTTAATCACTGATGTAAAACAAGACTTTTTTTTTCCCCTCTTGGATTCTTTCCTAATGATTTCTTGCCCTCAAAGTGTGTGCCTGAATTCTCTGCATCCATTTGTAAGGGCTTTCCCGCTTCCAGAAGTGTTTAATCAAAGAGGATGCTATCAGCAGGTGGTTAGCATCGAATGTCAGAAACTACTTCATTTCTGACATCTCTTGGGGGGAAAAAATATTTCATTACCATGCAAATGATGCTAGTCTTCCTTTCCAAGATCCATTGTAACATGGTGTAACATATGGTACACAGAACTGTGCTCCCGAGATTTATGCAGCAGAGTGGACACAGCTCTGCTTTCTTTTAAGCCTTTTAGTTTTTCTTTAGGTTGTGTCACAAATATCATGGTGCCTTTAGCAGCTTATGCCAGACAAAAGAACCAAGCAGCTTTAATGGGTGCTATTATCTTTCTGAAATATGTCTGGGATGTGAATTATTCAGTTGATACTTGGAGTGGCCATCTCTTGAAATACACCAAAAATATTGAAGCTGCTGGCCTCTCCTGGGAATTTTTAAAAGTTCCAATCATGGTATTTGGAACTCAAATTTTCCACGAGCCGTGAAACCCTGTAAGTAGACTAGGGTAAACCTCGTCTGATTCATCAGAGGACTGGAGTAGAGTTCAGTGACATCCGTGAGACTTCAGGATATGTCTGGAATTAAGCATATGTTTGAGTGAATTATTAACCTCAAGTGTATGATCAAGTGCTTTGCTGACTCAGGGACAAGACACTCCTTGCAGCTTGTTGTTTTCCACTTTGCCATCTGGGAAGAAGCAGCTTGACAGCATGTGGGCTGTGTGAGACATTATTGCATTTCTGAAAGGGTATTAACAGCCTTGAAGTTTCCAGGTTCTCTGAATCAGGTATTTTTTCTCTTGCAGATCTAACTGGGGTAGAATAACCTCACTGTAGTCTCTGAAAGCAAACTGACCATGCCAAGGCATTTTGGCAGGTTAGCAATTAATCTATGCCTAATTAAAATAACCCCATGTATTAGAGGAGCTACTAAAGATGCAGGTGGAAAGCTTTACAGAACCTGCAGGTTTGGGAGCATGAAATTGCCTCTTTCAGATATTCCAGAAAGTCCCTTTTGAGCAACTGGACAACTGTAAGGACCCAAATATGTAAACACTTTTAATCTGAGTCGTATCTTCTCTAGACCCATTTTCTGAGCTGGGGGAGCACATCCATATTTATATGAAATAAATATTGTTACAGGCTGTTCAGTCAACAAAGTCTCTTGCTTCAGCCAGGTAATGCAAAACACTGGGTAATGCAGACTTATTACTGCGTTTGTGGGGAAAGTACAAGACATGCTGATTTCTCAGTATTCTCCAAGTGATTTTAACTGCCCAAAAATACTAGGAGCTCACCTGAAAAATCTTCCATAGCACCCCCCCAAACCTGTTCAGCACACAACCCTACTTCTCCAATCCAGTACGCTTTCAGTCTGCCATTATGACTTAAAAGCCATTTCTGTGCTGTTGTGCTGCTTTGCATTTCTCATGAATGCATACAGAGGAATAAATGTTTATTTTAACAGTATTTCTCTATGTGTACTCTTACATTTTTTTCATTCTTTTCCAGTGACAAAATGTTCCCAGCCTTTGGATTTGGAGCAAGAATACCCCCAGAATACAAAGTAGGTGCCTGAGTGTAATTTTCTAATATCTTTGAGTTATGAGGCACAAAATAAGGGGAGAAATGGAGAAAGGCAGGGCAGTGGCATATGGGAACGGCTCCTCTGCTTGTTTTCATCTTCTGGCTTTCTCACCCAGTGATACCTCACTGAAACCAGAAATCAGGCAGGGCTAGACTTAAAATAATTGTTTGATGACACCCAAAATATTTTATGATATTGGCAAAGCTTTGTTATTGGATTCTTAGAGGAGAAATGATGTTTTGAATGTCCCTTGTCAAACATCATCCTGAAAATAAAGACAGGAAGAATTTTGCTCTGTGGCAAATTTCTGTGTCAAGGTGGACACAGCCAATACCAGGATGAGAAATACTAGAGCATGTAGCCATACTAGAGAGAAGTGGTATTTATAAACACCCCACACTCCCCATTCCCCCCCCCCAAAAAAAAAAAAAAAAAGTGATCTGCAATGATGCTGCAATTCTGAACATAAATATGCCATCTGGTGGGGCTGTGGAGTGAAGAGAGTGAAGTAAAAGAAGGAGCATCCAACAGAGAAAGGCCCAAGAAGAAATAAGTGGAAATTCAAATCCTTTGTTTCACAGAGGTTGTGTGGGCAGAAAAGTAGTTCTGCACAGATAAGTAACCAAAATCTAGGTGGGGGCTCTGCAACTCAGATGCTGTCTGGAAAGGAGAAGTATTAGCCATCTTATCATGTAGACTTCATCCAGTGTCCCTGTGTGCCCTGTTCTGGGTTGTGTCTCTGGGCTGTGGCTGAGGTAGAGAAGTGAACACTAGTCAGGTAAGAATTTCTGAGAGGGATTGTGTGCATTCAGCATTGTAAGGCATGAATCAGCAGGTGAGAAAAAACACCACCAGTGTATTTCTCACAGCTTGTAGGTTTGATAGCTGCAGAAGAATAACTGTAGTAATGTACAGCAAATTTGATACATGTCTTGCGAACAGATGTCTAAGGTAAGTTAATGGATGTTTTATCAACATTGCTTTCTAAGCTTGTCTGTGCCTGGCAAGGCGATTTGCCTTGCTTTCTTCCTCAAGGGTAACACCAGCATTAATGCTTTCCAAAGTCAGAGTCAGCTTCCAGGGCTTTGATATATATTTTAATGTGGTATTATGAGCTCAGAGCATCTGTATCTGTTGTATGTTTGTTCCGACTGCAGCAGCTGACAACCATCACTGCTATTTAAGGTGGTGTGTCAGGACCTGCTTGTTCCATCACCTGTGAAGTGACCATCAGTGCATGGGGGAAAACTTACAACTTTTCCAGTTGTAGAGAGCCATCCTTATCTACCTTGAAGGAAGGTGTTACTGTGTCAGCTGAAGTATTTTCAGTGGTTTCCTGGTGACAGAAGTATAATAAAGATCCCAGCACAAAGCTGCTCTTCACAGCCAAAATAATCAGCTGGTAGCACTGATGCTTCAGATCACATGAACCTATTGGCAACATCCCAGTTTTGTTAGACTTCAGTATCGTCCTTCTCACCTGATTGTGAGAGCACATTTCAGGTGCTAGCTGGAAAACAGATGTCTTGCCAGAAAGTAATTTCAGGGGTCTGTGTAACCAGATATTCCTGCAATCACCACCACCAATTGATTTTCCACTTTGGCAGAATTAGCATTTGGATAATTTCCTGACAAATACTCTTAAGAAACTCTGAGACTTTCATTGAACTTAGTAGTCCATGCATGAATAAAAAGTCTTATCCTGTAGTATTAGCTCTCCTGAAAAGTCTGTTGCTAACTTCTCAAACCAAGAAAATGAATGTGACTCAGGACCTCCAGATTTTGAAAAGTTCAGGAAAGTAAGGGTAAACTTCAGAAGATGGGGCTGCTTCCTTGTGGATTACATATGTGTGACTAAATCAAACAAGTCCCAAAGTAAATGGAGATGCAGGTGAAGGCCAGAACATCTTTAATCTCTGCTATGGAAACTTGTGACAGAAAATGACAAAGACAAAATGACATGACATCAGTTCACAAATATAATAAAACTTTGAAAAAGGCAAGAACCATATTGCAGGGGGACTAACTCTTCTGTGCAGCAGATGGGGACAAATAATCAGCTTGGTGTCTGTCATGGGCACATCCAGCTGGAACTGCATGAGGAGTTAACAGTCATCTGTGCTGTTGTTCAGTCCCTCCCTGTGATACTCTACGCAGTCCATAAAGGTATCTGGCTTCATAAATAAGCTATATTGATACTTTTGAGTCCCTGCTTGGCTTTGACTGCACTTCTGAATTGAAAGATAAATCCTTTAAGAGTGAAGAGTCAGCTTCATCTTGATGCAATAAGTCAAGATCAATAAACCTGAAAATCCTTCAGTAATTTAGTCTACACTGGTATGAAGTTAATTGAAACCCAACAATGTGTTTGATGTTTGATGTGGAACATAGCAAAGATGCATAGGAAACAGAGAAGATAAAACTAAAAGTAACAGAGACTGTAGAAAAAAGTGCTCCCAAGCTTCTTCCTTAGTCTCTTACTTCCTGCTGCAAAAATATGGTAGCACTCTAGACACCACAGCAACAGTGCAGATCTCGTGGTCTTCAAATGATCTTTTCATGTTTTCAGTCACAAGTATTACAAGTCATACATACCATACCTTTTTTTTATTAAAGGAGAGCAGTGCCACTACTGTAACAATTTATATCTTCAAATTTAGGTTGACTCATTATGAGAAATTTAGGTGGAATCATTATGAGAACTTCTAAGTTCGGACCCCATCATGTGGATAAGTCAGCTTCTCATTAATTTAGGGTGTCTGTTTTCAAGCCTCCAGACCTAATGAAGTGATCTAACCTGCTCATAGCATGTTGGTCTCTGCACTCCAGCATCTGGTCTTTTATTTCTTTCAGTGGACAACAAATTGCTAGGGCTGTGGAAGAAAATACTCCCATTTCCAAGGGTTCCTAAGTAACCATGGAGCCCCCATGCATCTAAACAACGTAGCTTCCTTCCTCAGCTGTCAGTGTCTATCTCTGAAGGCTCTTCATAAATCTCTTGATATTGTATCCCTTTAAATCTTGTTTTTATTTATGTTTTCCACAGAATTTCCATTTCAAGAGCACACTGTTATGCTGTGTTGACTTTATTCTCCCTCATTTCAGCTCCAAATGACACACTTCAGCTGTTAGTAGAAAACCAGCAGTTTCTTAGTGGCATAAGGAATCTGTGGGAGTGAAGGAAGCAAGCAAGACATGCCATATATATCATTCCTCTTCAGTCTAGAGATCTTTCATCTAATATCACTGACAATATGATCTTCTTCCACCAAGACCTGACAAACACATCACCCTGCTCCTTGATCTAAGTAAATCTCTGAGAGAAATATTTCCTTTGTGAGTTTCTGTCATAAAAAAGTTGCAGAATGTTGGGGAGTTTTTTGGTTGTTTTGGGGTTTTTTTTTGCAATGAAAGGAAGGATCTGAGAAGTTTGATAGAAAGTGAAGAGGTGGTAGATAATATGGACTCAGACACAGCTGTGAAAGGTCACAGTGAAGAGGAGGAAAGAAAGCAAACCACACACACTGACTTCTTAGCAGGCAGGACTCAAAGGAGCCGAAAAACCACACAGCAGCACAGAACTTACTTTTAAAATGAAAAGCAAGTTCAAACCGTGTCAGCCCCATGACAGGTGGATTGCCATTAATGAAGGCCTGTTTCCTGAAGGAGAATTGCAAGCTGATACCTGAATAGGTACTAAACAACTTGCAGTTTGTTTTAAGAGAGTCCTGGTTATTTCTGTACTTTTAGTGAAAGCTTCATTCCCTGCTTTTGCCATGAATGTGTGCTGGAGACAACCTCACTGCAGTTACAGACACAGTGCAGCATCTTTACAACCCTGCACTGGTTTGTTGGACAGGTGAGGGACTTGAGAAGTGCTGGGGTCTTTATGATTCCTGCACTTTTCAGGAGATTGATGGCTACATATGTGCAAACCTGTCAAAAAAATCATGTGTAACAGACCAAGGAAAAAAACAGAATTAGTCTCCTTATCCATACAAGTTGGATTTAGACATGGAAACTTGGGCAGCATGCACAAAAATGAAGTATAAAGGGAAATAAATGGCCCAGCTTTGCTGAGCAGAAATGTGTACAATGTATCTTAGTGAGAAACACAAGCTGTCCAGCTCCCAAACTATTTGATTAATGAGCATCTGGAAAATAATAGCTTTGACCAAATTCATTAAAATTCATTAGTGTCTTAAGCTTTTGGAAAATATGCAAAAGCTAATATTTCATATAAATATTCATAAATAATATAAATAATGAAATATAAATTTCATATTAATATTCATAAATATTTCATATTTAGTTTTCTGACTGGCAATGGCTTAATAGGGTTCAGTTTATTCACAGATAAGTGTCCAACATAGTGCATTTTGGCATTTACACTTGTATGCATCTATTGTTCATGGATTTTTGACAATCTCTATTTAAACTATTAAGAAAGCATTCCTAAACATCTGAATTTGTCAGAATGTTTGTCAAATAGTCCTAGTACCATCACCATAGAGGAAAGCTGGAGCTATTTGGGACATGGAGGTATTTTCAATGAATTCAGCAATCTAGAGAGGGGAAAAAAGGATTACTAATTTTCAGAATTCAGGCATCCATATTCAGCATTTGAAAAGAAATAAAAAACATAGCTTTTTACTTTTAAAAAAATTGAATTTCAGTTAAAGGGCTTTAAAAATAGTGTAGGCCAAACTAGATTTACAAGTATCAATGAAACTCAAAAAAAAAATGATTTTGCACAGTTCAAAAGCTTTCCAGCAATTTGCTTTATCAACACTGGGGGATTTATTATTTTTCAGATTCCTAGGCAGGATTTTTGTTTGTGATTTGAGGTTTCTATCTGAATTCATAAAATATTTTTTAAAGAAATCTCAAAAATTCTCAGCTAGAAAATTCTCCTTTTCCTTTCAGCCTTAGAAACATTTTTAGCAAGGGCCATGCTATGAGGATGAATTTCATGGCATCCCAATATGAGGGAAAAAATCAATGCGATTTTTCTACAAAAGTGGCCATAAACATGTGGAAGTATCTTTATGGTTTTTCCAAGAGTCTCATGGGTGCCATCACATTGATGGAAAACTGCAGGTGTTTGTCACTGTATATGTACAGACAGTGAAGGCATTGTACAGTGGTAAAAAACAACATTTCTACAACCTGTCTTAGCAAAAACATTCTGAACTGTTTATTTAATTGTCATGTCCTCAGAAGTGCTCTCACTGTAACCTACATCATAATGGATGGTAGAGCTAGTTAATTTGCTTGTTAAAAACCTCAAAGGAATTACCTGTGAAATAGTATGTTCCTGGTGTAGGAAGTTCCTGGACAGCTGTGGTTTAACAATCCCATATGCATGATGGTGTCTGATAAAGAATGTACCTGGAGCCCTGCAGAGGGAAAAGATTAATACAGAGCCAAGTGCAAATGAGTGCAAGTGTTCTTGAATGTCTTTAGCTGCAGGCTTTGAGTGCAGTTCTGTGCAGCAGCCCAAGTAACACCAGGCTGATCCCATGTAATCACCTCAGCATGCCAGCATTTCTCTCTCCTTCCCTTTTATGGATTGATTTCATGGATCAATGTTAAGAGAGGAGGACTGAAATATATTTGAAATTTAGTCTAGGGTCTCACACACTCAGGGTGTTGTGAGGAGGACATTCCTTAATGTGAGACTGACTTCCACCACAGACTGTGGTCTGCAGTTCTTGGCCAGGTTCTTGATGCCAGCTACTGATGTAAAGCAGTGGTTCTGTATTTGTGTGACTTGACACATTCCAGGGTTTCCTGACTGTTAGATCGATCCACAATACAAACCACCCTAGTAAGTTATATAAACACGCCTGCTTCTGAAGAGCCAAGTGTCTTCTTGTTTCCCCTGAGGATTTCTCAGTCTTCAGCATCTTAGGTGTTCAAATTTTGCCTCCTTTTTGTCATTAGTTTATCAGTTCTGGGAGTGTCATTGAAGGGCTGTGTCATACAATATCAGGAAGATGCCATTGAGTATACCAGCTTTTGGTTCTCTGTCATCAGCATGGTTTGTCCTCCAGTCATAAAGCCCTTGCATGCTTAATTAGAAAAAGAAAAAAAAAAATAAAAAAGGAGGTAGACTCATCACCTTGCACTGTTTAGAAAGCAAAAGCACTGAATGTTTGATTCAAACCACCTTTTGACATGGGTGAGCTTTACATGGAGTCCTATCAGGTATCAGCCCAACTTTAGTAAGGCCTTCAGTTTGTGGTCTAAGTGTGAAGTCTCTGCTGGTTTGGACACTCTTGAGTTCTGGCCACCACAGGGAAGTCAGCAAAGGGGCAGGTTGAAGCACAGTTGGCTTTGCTTAATAGGGTAGGGAATGAGTTTTGAGCATTTGGAGAAGCTCTGCTTAAGAAATATATGCTGTTGGCTTGCCTTGGGTGATGATTTCCTGTTTGTGAACCATTACTGAGCTGCTCAAAGAACTTCTCTCCTTCACATTATACTTAAGTCTTGTTTAAATTGTGATATATTGCTCAGAGAGCATAGGAAACAATCCAGTGCTTCTGCACATTCATTGTGTTTCCTGTGCTGCCTTCAGGGTACATTTTAACACTGCTCTTTGTGAATCAGGATGACAATGTATGAGGGCCATTTGCTTTAGGATAGCAGCCGATGCTCAGACAGTCTTATTTTTTTGGATCTTTGTGCACACTGACTAGACTTGGGCTTTCCTTATTGGCCTGAACTGTTGTCTGCATTTTTCGTAAATAATAGCCTGGGTGCCATAGCTCTGAACCAGATAAATTTTTTGTATTATGTGATTCTGGAAGAGGTATGGCAACAAAAGCATCCAAACCATGCTTACATGTGAGATTAAAAAACTGTATTCATAGCTTTTGAAAAGATTTGTATTTTCCTTTAGGTATAATTTCAAATGCATTTGGAATAAAGAAATAAAATCACTGAAGAGGCACAGAGGTGGAAGAATCAGTCTGCAATACATAAACAAGCATTGCCATCCTTCTTGCTTTTATAATACAGTAAATGCAGAACACAGAAACCCTAAAGGAAAGAGAAAGGCTAGTGAACAACAAAAAATATCAATGAGTGAAAACTCCCATAACTGTTCTTGACAGATGCAATTACCTTTGGCCTGCAGCTGATCATGAGGCTGGCAGATACCAGCTGGGCAAAGTGCACTGAGAGACATCCAGAGCAACCAGGCAGAAGGGCTCTGGAGCACCTCTGAAGTATATCTGGCAGGCTGATCTTCTGTGCTGCTTGGTGAGGAACATAAATAGTGACTTCCTGCATTATCTTCCGTGGCCAAGTAGGATAGGCTGAATGGACCATGTAAAGCCCTCTCTAAGACTGGTGCTTGGTGTGGGCATGCTGAATGCCTGGCTGGGCTGAGGCAGCTGCAGAATTCTCAGTGAGGTTTTGTTTCAGTCCTTTCCCATCGTGGTAGAAGTACTGCTTTATTTAAGCTCGCAATATTGGCAGGCATCACTGTGGTAAGCAAGACTAGCACATGATGGGGAAATTAATTTTCTCTATGAAGAACTCTCTTTGGCAGTAATTAGCCAACTTAGACCACTTGTCTTTCACAGAAGCTTCTCTGCAGTCACATATTTGATATACGTGTCCCTTAGTCATCGACCAATTTCCATACTCTGCTGTCAAGACATCTGAACCAGAAAATGAAACAGCAACATCCAACAAGCAAGTCTCTTCCTGCAAATAATCCTGGTTCCATTGTGCAGGAGGTTGCTTTCCATATCCCTAGGACTGTTGGAACTTTTGAAGATCCTACAGAGACCAATAAAGCTTTAAATGTGTATAATTGCAGTTATATAAATGTCTTCTTAAATCTGGGATGATACACATAAATTCAACTTCAAGTTATGCAAATTACCTGCTAAATTCTCAGCCACTTTTTGCAAGTCAAATATATATACATATATATACATATATACATATATATATATATATATATATACACACACAGACCTTATGCATTGCAAGACAAAATCTGAGCTTTTTCATTCAAGAAAAATTAAGGCAAACAGAATTGAGAGGCTGGGCTTCAGAGCCAAAGAGATTAAAAGGAATTGAGACTTTTCAGTGATCAAATAAATAAATAAAAAGGAATCTGAAAAAGAAAAGTGCAGGCAAGAATAAAACTTAAGGAGGAATTTTGGAATTGGAGACTTACAGTGCCTAACATTATCGAAGCATACAAAAGTCTTGGTTTATTTTCCCAGGGCACTAAAGACAAAATATTTTGTTTTGTTGCAAAATCAGCAACTTTGTTGTATTCACAGTGATTTCTTTTAAAAAAACAACTCTGTAGGATTTAATGATAGACTGAGAGAGAGAGAGATTGGAATATTCACGACATGCGAGGAAAACCGAGAGTCTTCAGGAATTTTATTACCCCCCAGACTAACCTAACTTTTTAATCAACTTAAGACTCCTTACACTTCTTACACTACTATTCCACAGCAGATCCTTGATTTCTCTGGAGATTTCTCCATACTCCTCGGCCTTAGATGAGGAACTGTTCACACAGTGAGGTCAGGATGCAGAAGTGAGCTGAGTTTCTGCTGTCAGTGCTGTATCACAACCTGTCTTCTCATTCCTGCAGTCTGAGAGGCTGAGGTAGGGAGAGCTGGCACTTAAATCACCTCAGCAATAGACTCCTCTTCCATACCCAGCACTGGTAGCCCAATCCTGACACCATGTTTATATGATTTTTTTTGTGTATTTGGGTGGGTTTTCTTTGTGCCTTACTTTGTTTTGGTTTGTTTTGTTTGTTTTGTTTTGTTTTGTTGTTGTTATTGACAAGTTTGATTCCAGGTTTCCTACTTTGGTTCTGTGGGGAGCTCCAGCTGGGACTGTATTTCACATTTAATGGCTGAAAGCTTGAATGGTCTCAGGCTTACCACAGAAAAAATGTCAAGGATATTTTAGCCACAAGTCTTCTTGGAATATTTTTTCTGACAACAGTCTTCTTTTCTTTCCATTTAACTGCAGGTCTCTCATGACTTTGCAATCAATTTCAATGAAGACAACCCAGAATGTGCAGGTAACGCTCACAGTAGGACAGACTCATAGTTTTGCTGTGTGCAAAATGTGCATTTTTTATTGTATCACCTGAGTATTATTCAAAGTGGTTTTATTAAAGAAAGCAGCTAGGATGTGGGGACCTGCCAAACCATTGAGCTTAACTTTAGAAATCTTGGAAAGTGACATATATTAATTTCCTGAAAAGTAGGTGGACATTCAGCACTTAGACTTCCTATAATCACTAGCATTTCTGAGAACTGAACTAATTGAAAATCTTCAGCTACCTCAACATCATAGGTTGTGCAGCTAAGAAGGGCAGGATGTGAAAAACCAGGCTGTGAACCTCTGTGATCAAAAATTCCCTCAGTGTAGAGCCAGTTCTTTGACCAGACCTATAGCCTGCTGGAAGTCAAGGGCAGGAAAGTAGCTGATGACTGTTGTGGTAGAGAGAATCCTACTTTCCTGAGAGCAAATGCAGCAGGAGGCTACAGTATAAGATGTTGCTATGTTCTTTGTTAACAATCATTGATGTTAACAATCCTTTGTAATCAGAGGCCAGATTTATGTAGATGTTGCTGTATGTCTTGTATTTGTGAGATCTCCAGTGACTGATGCTGTCTTTCTAAAATCTCCTGCCCCAATTCACACATTTTGTAAAAGTCTAAAATCCACAGGTTGTTATTCTCCCTTATCTTTCTGCTTCCATCCAGACACTGAACTGGATATTTCAAAATGCTCTTCCTGTTCAAATTTTCTAGCTGCTCCTTTTAGCCCTTCTCAGGCTTATTAGTGGCTTTCTTTTGAGCATGGGCAGCAAACATGTTCAGGATGAAAATTAAGATGCTAAGAAATGAAGTGAGGAAGAGAGGACAAGCAATTCAAGGGAAAGAGACATTAAAAGAATTCAGAGTTCGTGTGTCTTAAATGCAAGACCTGGTTTTGGTTCAGTGGGTATTCCTGCTTTGTTGTTGCACTTGAATTGTTGGACTGCCCCAGCCTTTGCAGGTCATATGCTTGCAATGCAATTGGGCATAAGTCCTACAGCTGCTTGATGTGCTCACACAGCTTTTTACATTGCTTTTAAGGAGTCCAAAGAAGCAGAAGTTATATGTATGCATCTAGAAGTGCCCATAAGCTTGTAAGCCAGTTTGATGTTGAGACTTCAGTGTGGGGATGGGGTGGGGAAGCAAAAGAGACCTCAGAATTCCATCTGGACCATCGTATTTCATAATGTGTCATTAAAACAGTTAACAGTGGTCAGCATTAGGTGATAACATATTTATGCATGTGGTGCTCAAATAGAGCTTTGTTTCCCAATATAACCGCAGGGTATTTGTGACCCTCTGCAAACTACAGAGAAAAGCTCCAGCACTCCATGCAAAGAACACTTATTTTTATCCCCCTACTTTGCTGGTTCTTTTGAGTTCAAGGCTAATGCTTTTATCACACTGGCATTGCTATATAATGATTTTTATTGATTGAAAAGGCTGCCTCATCTAGGTGGTGCCAGCAGCAGAGTTTGGACAGACAAACCTGTAAGCAAGGTATTTACTATCCAAACCACATTCTGTATGCAAAACTAAATGTAACAGTGGAAATAAAAGGGGGTAAAAAAACCAGGAAGGAGCTGCTGTGTGAGGCTTGGCTTATATCACTTAATAATTTAAACTTTATTTTTATCTTTGCATAAGACTCAGTTACCTGATAAGCTAGCCCATCACCTGAAAGGAGTTCTAGGCCTAAGAAAACATAAAAAAATCATTGCAGCCAGGGAAGGATTTCTCATGAAAGAATGGCAGGAAGAGATTTTGCAGCATTTGCACCTGTATCTGCACGATATTAAAAGCATTTGTTTGTCTTAAATTATACCTTTTAAAATAATATCCACCTGGGTGAAAGCAGGAAGAGGAGACAAACAAGAAAATGTGTTGCTTAATCATCTGCTGCAGCTCACTCATCTGCCTGTCATGGGTGCTTGCTTGTTCTTGATGTTTTCTAGATGTTCTCACTGTATAAGTTGTCACAGGGAACAGTAACATCAGCAAGTCATGTGGAGAAAGGATTCAAGAGTGAGAAAGAGATAAAGTGCTCAGTGGTTACGCTATTTTACCTTGTAATATATAGTATACTTGCCAGAAAATAAATTGCTTAAGAGTATCTTGTTTTAAACAAAGAAACAACAGTTGCAATATAAGAAGTATATGTCTATTTTGCCTTTGAGGAATTAAATCCTTTTCTCTGTGGAAGTAGGGCTTTTGCTGGCACAAGGTAGTGTGAAGCATCACTCTACACACAGGGACTGTATATTGAGATGAAGAGCACTGGAATTCATAAAATATGGATATCCTCACCTGTTACCATTTCCATTCTTGAAAACTGTAGTATTTATAGTCTTAAATTTAGTATATTTATAGTATATTACTTTAATAGTCTTACAATTAATACTTCATTTATTATCTGAGGAAGAAAGTAGGCAACAACCTCTAGTCTGAATGACTGTTTCTACACATCTGTCTTAAACCCTTATATGTATGCATACACTGTATTTCATTGGAGATACTGAAAGTCGATTCCAAATAAAAATGTAAAGAGTTGAATTGTTAAAAAAAATCACATTGATTCTGCCTAAGATAAAGGAGTACAAGAATGGCAAGCTACAAATTAATCCACTTACATATCCTGCTGAGTTGGGATTGGATGGACAGTAGATATTTATAAAATATATTAATCTGAGAAAGCAAATAAGAAATTATGTTTCTAGAACATGTCTCTTTCTAAGATGAGAGCAGCTTTCTGACATGAACAACACTAAATCTCTCTGGAATGCAGGGAGTAAGGTTTATCTTACATTATTTTACTGCGTAAGAAGAAAATACAGTGTATCTTGTCATCATCTTAGGGAAGATTTATGAGGTCTTCATGCAGCATCATTAAGTATATGTAATGAAATCCTCTAGCAAGTTTAAAAGTGGGAGTTAACAAAAGGTCAGTTTTGCAGTATGTAATTTAGTCACTGGAATTACCAAGGGAAATTTTGCAACACTACTTAACATTTCAGCCAATCACAGCTATAACTGGAGCAAGTTCTTTTGTCTGTTGGCACTGCAATGGAAAAAATATATCTATAGCTGTCTCTAAAAGAGAGAAAACTGTTCTGCACCACTTTTTCATAGGAGTGTAGGTGTGTCATTGTGAAACAATTACAACTCCCTGTCATTTGTTAGTAGTAAGTCTCTACCCATCTATCCTGTAAATATGGTTGATTAAAAAAATCTCATGAGAGAGAGTGAGACTCTCAGGAGGCTCGGTACAAACTGAAACTGGCTTAGGATCTTACTGAAGTAATTTAATTCTTCAGCATCCTTTGTAAAGCTTTTCAGTCTATCGCTTTCTTTCCAACATTAGACCTCTAATCCTTCAGGTCTGGTAAGCTGGGAGTTCTGAATGGGGAGGCTAATGTGCATCACTTCAAGAAATCCTTCTTCTCAATGATTGAAAATACCAGTTTCCATTCTGTGATCTGTCAAGTGTGTCAGCAGAAATCTTTGCTCACTGGTCTGACTATATATCCTGAAATGAAAAAGCCAAAAATAGCTGGTTCTCCATCAAAATTTCTCAGCTAAAGCTCATTTTTCTGTAGGCTGCAAAGCATCCTGCTGTTTCTTCCAAGATTTCACAGCTTTTGGCCATAGTTAAATTCAACCTGTGAATGATTATGCAAATTAACCCTGAAAAATTATTTTCTTAGCACAGGGGCATCAGGTATTTGAAAATATGTTTTGAATTCTTCAACAACTTTAGGGCATAAGTACAAAGGACAAATTTGTTGGCAACTGCCATGATAAACAAACATACTTATCTGAAGAGGAGAAAGAAGTGTTGAAGTGTTTCTTAATGTGTGTCTAGCCTTTCAGCATGAATCTTAGTTGTTGATCAGGAAGCTATCATATCCTAAACCAAGAAGAATGGAAGCTATGGCATTGCAAGCTCATACCTGAAAAATAGACATTAAAAGATGCAGGGAAGGAGAAGCATGGTATAATTAATTATATATTACAAACTACATTCAAGGCAGCTAGAGACAGATTCCTGGCAATTATCTGAAGTTGCTAGTCCTTACTAATCATGTAATATTTCTAATTTGTTCATTAAGAACCCACCTTTCATTTACATTTAAACTTTCATTTACATTTTAAGCCTGATATTGGCAATGTGCTCCACTTTTTTTTTTTGTTTATTTTTGTTTTTTTTTTGTTTGTTTGTTTTTCATGCCAGGAATACAAGGTGTTGTGGAAGCTTATCAGAGCTGCCTTCCCAAGCTGCAGCTGTATGGACCAACAAACATTGCTCCCATCATCCAGAAAGTGGCAAAATCTGCATCAGAGGAGACCAACACCAAGGAGGCCTCGGTAAGGGAAAAAAAGCTCTGCTTGATTTTTTTTCTTGTCTTATGGTGGATCTCTTGTAGGCCATCAAAACAAGGCCTTTTAATGCAGATTTTGCCCTCACAGTTTTTATTAACTGCCTTTACAGAAGACACCTTAAACCTGTGTCAGCTGGAAAAGTGTATCAGTCTTTATAGCTTCAATTGTCACAGCTTTAAACTCTTTCACCACTGATCTATTTCCTGCTTTTAGGGCTGTTTTACTGTAGCACACCCAGTTCTCCACTGTGGAAATAGAAATGGCACTACTAAGGTTACAAAAATTGAGCACTTGAGTCCTAAAAGTCTTGGTTGTACCAAGAGATGAGTTCAAATGATTCCCTACTCAGACTATCCAATTTTATGTCTCCTGCAGAGGCTGTACTAAATTTTTTCTGTTCACCTAGGGGACTTTTCCAGCTATTAATTTGAAAATGGTAAGGATACCGTTTTCAGCTTTGTGTTATTACTGATGAAGTAATTTGTGCCTTTTAGAAATTAGAAGACAAGTCTGTTAGCCTGCACCTGATAAAAATCCTAGGACAGATTTCTTGGGCTAAAAGACTTACACATAGATCATGTTTTATATGTACACCTTTGAGATGCATTAGGTTAATTCTGATCCTGCCTTGATGACAGAATAGGAGAAAGAGGGAACATGTGAGCGAGTAGCTCTGAACCATTTAGAAGAGCAGTGCTGTAAAGGAGTGAAGGATGTAAGAGAGGCATTATGTACTGCAGCATGAAAAGTGCCAAGTACAGAACAGAATAGAGCTGTGCATTGGCATGTGCCTCATCACCTGGCCTAGAGCTTTCTCTAAGCTTTCTTCATGTGCTGGGCCTTTTTTAAGTCCTGTTAGGGCAGCAGTTACCAAATATTTCTGTTCATGAGTCTGGGCTTGTGACTGATATTTACGAGAGCATGTAGTGACAGAACAAAGGGCAATGACTTCAAACTGAAAGAGGACAACTTTAGATTAGAAAAAAACTCTTTACTGTGAGAGTGTGAGGTACTGGAACAGGTTGCCTGGAGAAGCTGAGGTTACCCCATCCTTGGAAGTGTTCAAGGACAGGAGCTCTGAGCAACTTGGTCTAATGGAAGGTGTCTCAGCCTCATCATCTCTTCAGCCTAGATGATCTTTAAGGTCCCTTAAAGGTCCCTTCCAATCCAAACCATTCTGTGATTCTGTGATTCCACTGTTTCCAGAACCTTGATAGCATTTAGGGTGTCAGTCCTAAAATGGGGAATTGCTATTTTTGAGTTTCTATATTCGCCTAATCCTGAGGTGGCTCACTCTATTCTCAGTGATGTTTCTGATCAAATATGCCCTACTGAATAAGTTCCTTCATTCTATATCTAAGCTTTCCCCTTTCTATCTGAAAAACAATTTATAGGATGAATCTTCAAGACAAATTTTTCTCCCTGCATGTTTTGTTTTATTTGTGACAGGACAAGATGATTGGAACATTTTGAGTTTATACTGCTATAAATAGATAATTATTGTTGATGTTTAATGTGTTGGTATTGCTCATGCAGAGTGACCAAATCCTATGATTTGTACATTTTTGCTATTAATGTACATTTATTAAATTACTCCAGCTGCCTAACAATTCATAAGAGATCCAAGTAAGGGCTCTTCAGCATTACCAAGTGAAGAAATGTCATAGCTCATGATCCTAGTTCAGTGGGCTTTGGAGTTTTGGGAAAGAAATAACAAGCTCACCAAATTGCTTGCTCTCCTCTGGAGAATGAGAAAACTTCTCTCTGGGGCTCTGTATGAAGAACATGAAGATAGATATATTCCTGCCTTGCTCTCCTCAGGGACCCCATTACTCTGCAAAGGAGAGATTAGTAGCTGAGGAGAGCTTGGAATGGGAAATTCTGAAATTCAATATAAAGGCTTTTTTCTCTTTAGAAAGGTCCATGAGTGAGTTACCAGAAACACTTTTATACTTTTTAACTTAAAAGGTTAAGCAGCTTTGGAATATTAACTAATGATATAATATTTCCCTTCTTGTCAAACAACTTCAGCAATATTTCATCTTGCTGATCCTGACGGATGGCGTCATCACAGACATGGCTGACACCAGAGAGGCCATCGTCCACGCCTCTCACCTCCCCATGTCAGTCATCATTGTTGGGGTGGGCAACGCTGATTTTAGTGACATGCAGATGCTGGATGGTGATGATGGCATCCTGAGGTCTCCCAAGGGCGAGCCTGTGCTTCGAGACATTGTCCAGTTTGTGCCATTTAGGAACTTCAAACATGTAAGCTGATTTTTCCATCCTTGCCACAGAAGGGTGAATGGGTATAGTGAATGATTCATGAGGCTGAGCTTAACTTTGCATATGCATGAATATGGCATTATTGTGTAAGAAATAGTGAAAAAAACGGAATCAGAATGCAATGTGTGCCCCATTAGTGAGTTGGTGAGGGTGGGAAAGGAAGAGATGAGGCAAAATCCATGTGCTTTTTGTAGTGCCAGTCCTTGCTTACACTTTCTCATTTAATTTGGTTACTTTCCCTGCCTAATTTTTCATGGTGTCTGTTTCACATTCTCTCTTGCATCTGTTCTATTAGGACTACTGTATTCTGCTTTCCATTCCTTCATTTCCATAGGCAGATGAAATGGCTTTGAATTTTCCTCATGGTGTGTACCCCAGGAGGCTGTTTCTTTATTGAAGCTTGCTCCCCGGAGTTCTCAAACGCAGGACTATCCACCCACAGCATCCTGGCTGCCTCCAAACCCTTTCCCAAATTCTGTACAAGAACACAGGCAAGAAAGTGGCATTACTGAGAGCTTCCCTCTGCCCTCCTGCCAGCTGTTCCTGACTGAGGCCAGTGTGGTGTAGAAAACATTCTGTAGGAAAGAAAGGAACAGAACCAGCATTAAATTTCCAAATCTAAAGTAAAGCTTTGGACTTGAATTTTTCTTCTCAGTCACCTGCCCTACATTGTACCATCTGTTCCAGGGAGTTTTCAGCAGGGTAGGCAGTTCATCAGCAGAAGGGGCTTTCCCACACACAGAGGGGTTTTTCAGAGCCCTTTTCCTCCATATGGAGGCATGCATTGTGTTCCTCTGCAATGCTGATCCCATCCCTTTCCTTCCTTTTTTCCATCTTTCTCTCCCTTCTTTCCTCTCACTTCTGTTACATTTACTTGGTTCTCCAGCCTGGTTTTTTGCTCTCTCTAGGAAGGATATCCTTAGTATTTGATTTGAGAATTTCAGTACCTCACAGTGCAACTGACTCATTCTCCTCATGAGATTGCTCTTTTCAATCTGCTCCCATACACTAGAGATTGTTAGATTTGTATATGTCACAGCAAAGTTCTCAACTCTGGGCTGGTTTTGATCTACATATGGGTTTGCACTGCTTACATTTACTGCTTTTTTAATTTAGCTCCTCTTAGTTTTTCTGAGACTTTTGTCAGCACAAGAGATTATTTTCTGTTTGCTACTTCCAGAATACCTTCATTTTCCTCTTTGCAAGGTTTGTTGTTTTTTTTTTCATTTTAAAATTCAATTCTAAAGCAATATTTGCTTTAGATCTAGACACACTTCTTACTTTCACAAACTCTACTGAGGAGCAAGAGAAACAAACTTGTTCCTCTTTTCCTTCTAGCTTTATGTAAGCCATGGATGCACACAGGAGGGAAAACTCACCTTATGCTGTTAGTTTGATGCCACCATGACAAATAGCTGCAGACTGACTACTGAGTTGTAGACAAGCACTTCTCTGTGCTGACAGGAGCACAGAGTCACCTACCTGCTGAATCAAAGTATGAGCACAAGCACCTCATAGCTTGTGATTCCTTCAGCACATAATCACAAGTGTGTAGTGCTGCACTCTAGTCATTGGGAAAGTGTCCAGAGCTGAGTTATTTATGGGCTAGTGGGAGAGCTACTTTTAATTAGGTGAAAACATGTTTCTGCAAGGAGCTGGCAAAGCCAACTACATTTGTTATTTTTAGTTTCACTTTGTATTTTACAATAAAGCTAAAATCATCTTGGATTTAATAGATTAACACTGACAGTTGCAGTTCTGGACTCTAAATATATTGTTCCCCTGTTGTTAATTTCTTACTGAATCTGTGGCATTGTTATTGCCAGCACTGGACAAATGACAAGCATATATTCTTTTTTAGCTGATTTAGATTAACTTCCCCAGTACTGGGAGAGGAAAGCAATCTTTATGTATTCTTCTTGTTAAATAGTGATATTTTGCTCCCTCTTTCAGTAGCCAAGATAATATAGGTATAGAGATAGATTTGTATTTGCTCTATCAGAAAAGTTAATATATCTTAGAAAACCTGATATTTAGTCTGTTTATTGTGATCTTTCAGCTTTTCAATGAATGTCAGTGTAATGGATGAGTGCTCATAAAAATATCCACTTCTGGTTGAATTTCTTTATTGTCATATCCCAAATAATCTCTGTTTCTCAACAAAGTGACATTCACAGCTTCCTTGCTTACTTAGCACAAACAAAAGACCATACATCAGCTAGTGAAATAATTTTTCATGGGAGAAATGAGTGTGATGTTTTGATTTAAACTTATTTTTCCCCACAGAGGAAATGCAGATTTAACACAATTGGGAGATTTTTGTCAGATCAGTTCTGACTGAACACAAGAATTCACATACATCAGCATATTACTTTTGACAGCTCTAAACAAAATACATATTTAGATTAAAATCCCATTCATTTTGTCAATGTATCTTGTGTTAATTTTTTAAGTAGAAAAAGAGATTGAAGGATCTTTTTTGAAAGATTAAAAATCAAATTGTGTAAGGTTTATAGGCTTTTCTGATAAGTCAAGTACTTATTTATTCCTAAATCCATATTATATCTATTAATGACAGAAGGAGAGAAGAAAATGTTATGCGTGACCATTTATTTTTTGTTTTGCTGGCAGAGTAAACCAAAATTCCCTTGGAGTCTACCAAAGCAATAATTTTTTCATTGCTTCTATTCTCAGGTCAGCTTAGAACTCAAAATCTCATATCTGTCCAAAGAGATCAAAAATAATCTGTGCAAAACCCTCCCCTTTGAGAAAATTAAAGGGAGGGGAGAAGGAAGTTGTAAACATAACTTATAGAACGAATCCCTTTTATTTTGTAAGTTTGACTTCAGAGAAGGATCTGAGCCTGTACAGCACTCATACAGGCATTTAACACATTTCAATTAGTTATTCACACACCTAAAATCATATACCCATGTCAATGTTTTACTGGCTTAAGACTCAGTGTAGACAGCAGGCTCTGTTATAGAGGTTTAATCTCCTACATGATACAGTGCAGCAGAAGTACTTCAGTAAAACATCTAAGCTCTTTCTCTTTAAGGAGTATGTTTGAAGACATCAAAATAATAATAGCAACTGAAGTGATTCTTGGCAAATACTGTAGTTGTAGAGACTTGATAAAACCAAGGTGACCATTAACACTTAAAAATATTGTATAGTGGGTGACGTATGCCATTTCCTAAAGGGGGACATAGCAAACAAAGGAAATATATTTTCTGTGAATCCAAGTGACTTTTTTTTTCTCTGTAATCATCACCACCCCAGTAATGTGAGTGTCCTTCACCTGAAAGTGTAGAACAGTGATGCTCCATCACTGAAATGTATTGAAGAAAATCACCTGCCTCGATTCATTCACTGTCATATTTTAAGAAATGAAATTTTCTGCCTTTGGGATGTATGATATATTTACTGGGCACAAATCTGATGCCATGGGTAGATTGTATTCCATTTTGCATTGTATTTAATCACAAAGGTTAACAGCTGTGACTTCATAACATATATCACAAAGGAGATGGGAAGCACAGCTCGTAACCACTGCATGGAGCAATGTTTTGCACTATGCATTGTAGTTAAAGGTTAAGCATTGTGAAGCTATAGAACTGAACCAAAAGTCATTTATAATACACACCAATTATGGAATCACAGAGGGTTATTTTCCTGCTGCTGACTGATCTGATTGTTGTGTATCAGCTATCAGTTGAGAACTATTCATCATCAGTATATTATTGCTAGAATGCTCTTCAAGAAGTGGAGAAAATGTTACAGTAAAATACTAATTTATTGTCCCATCTGTGTTAAAGACCCAGCAAAGGTAATCCTTACCCAGCACTGATGAATTGGGTCTGTGTTTTAGGTGCGTTTTAGTTTAGCTTTAACTTTAGATACTGAGTGTAATTCTCACTTATAAAAATGCTGCTTTGCACCATCTGATCCAGAAATGAGAGTGCTTTACCACCACAAAAAAGTATGTAAGGTACAGGTGGTCCAAATCACCAGAGAGGAAGTCAACCCCAAGCCTTTTTTGGGATGTTCCCTGCTAGAAAGAGCTCAGGACCAAGAGACATCACTGGCATGATGAAACTCAGTAAAGCAACAGTTGCCCATGCTCAGAGTGAAGCATAGAATCAAGCCAGCTACCCCAGGGCAACCCTGCATGGGGCACATATCGCCTGTGTGAGCCTGTGGGCACAGTAAATATTTCCACTTAAACCTCAGCGAAAAGCTTTTTAGTTGAGGACTGCTGAAGCAGCAGGGATTCAGCTGTTCATCTGAGCCCTGGCAGAGCCTGTTCTGAAGGGCTCACCCTTCGTGCAGGAGGAATGGATGTGGCATCAGAAGAGAGAAGGGGCGGAGGGAGGATGATGCACAGCACTGAGTGCTGTTGGCCCAAAGTTCAGAACACATGAACTACACAGATCCAGAGAATCTGATGCCAGTGCTCCTGCCCAGCATTTTTAAAGACAGAGCAGAGTGAAGTTTCCTGATTGCTACAGCTTGTGTGTGCAGCGCCAGCCTGGGGCTCTTCTTCCACTCCCTGTTTTTACCCCTGTGTAGTTGTATTTTTGGTAAGATTGCAAGAAGCAGGCTAAGGTATGTACAGCTTTGACACACTGGAAAGGGAATTTAAAAAAACAGTAATTTTCAACAGCATTGTAGAACTCAGCCATTTGTGTGATTCAAAGGGGTATTTTCTGATTATTTTAGCTGGAACTAGATGAACTTTAAGGTCCCTTCCAACCCAAATCATTCCATGAGTCTATAAAACCAGCAAGAACAGGGCAACTCTGGAAAACCATGAATTTCACTTTTCAGGATTAAAATTAATGGGTTCTGTTACTGTGTAACAACTTAGAACACTTGCTGCACTGTCACATAAAGTATGCTCCTATGCTTTGCCAGTTTGTTCATGCAGAAATGTTCAAGAGTTTTTTGGCTGCACAAGTATTTTGGTACAAATGTCACAGTAGGGAAATAGCAGTTAACTTTATTTGTTACTAATCCCATACATGAGTCAAAATACAAAAATATATTAAAAAAAACCAAAAAACGTGTTTCTGGTTTTGCTAGCATTACCTTTTTATTTGATACTAGAATTTCTAGCCTGGGGGTTTTCTTCACCCTTGGATTAACCTGCCTACAAATAGTTTACCATTTACATTCTGTGTAAACCAAATTTTAAGACTCTGTAAGGATAAGGATGCCACCCCACAAAACAGAGTAGGTCAAAAAAACAGTCAATACAACTGCTTTGGGACATGGTAGGTTTGAAACTTGGCTGTTAACATAATAGACAATGAGGAGGAAAGTGTTCATTGATTTGGGAAAAAGTACTTGGTGTGCAGAAGTGTGATCCAGCCACCGGCTGAATTCCCATGCATCACCTGAGCTTCAGTCTGCACTCTACAGAGATAAATACATCAGTTTAACCCTCTCAAAATGAAACTTAAGTGTTTGCATTTTTACTGCATTTTTGCAGTGGGCTCAAAGGGAACATGGCCAAGCAGGCTGGTTCCAGAGGACTTGGAACCAGTTCTATCCAAACACTTAGAAACAAGCAAATCTAAAACATGGGGCCACAGGGTGCATGGGAGGAGTCCAGCTCTGTCACTGCTGAATTCAGGGGCTGAGGAATAGCTATGCAGCACATGCAGGTAATGGTTGCCCACAAAACATCCACAAAAAAAGAAAGCCCCTCAGCTTAAAATGAAGCATTGTTGGGGTGTGAGGCAGCAACTCTGTGTTGTTGATGGAGGGCAGGGTTTCTCACTGCACTGAGGGGGAGCCCTCCCCCCTGCCTGGGGTGAAAGCCACTGGCCATCCCTATATCCATCTCTACTTTTCCGGGCCATCAGGTCTTAAGTCTGGTTGACACCGCCCATTTTTACATTGCAGGAAGAGCTTTAAAGCCCCCACCAAGCCTTGAACCTTTATTGTAATCACGGCTTAATTCCAATTTTTTAGAAAGTACTTTTTATTGAATTAAAAACATTCCCAGCCATTGAAACACCATGCCACATTCTGAGGAGCAGAATGGTGATGAAGCCCTCCCTTTCACAAGTGTTGTCCATTCATGTTCAGCTTAGAGCTCTGCAGGGTTCCTTGCTGAACACTGATAAACGAAGTCTTTGCAGCTTTTTATTGTGATATAGGGCTCTCCCAGAGTGCAGGGATGTTCAGTTACCCTGAACTTAAAATAGTCAAAATGGACCTGAAGTCACACAGAGGACTTTTGGCTTTAGTGTACTTTTAGGCAGCTACAGCTCCATAGAAGTCTAAACTGACTCATAAAATGAGTTTCCAGCAATAGTTTGATTCACTTTAAGTCTTTTTTGCCTTTCATTTCTGTTTCATACTTCCTCCCTTAATCTCATGGCACCAACGCCTCCAAAACCCATGGCACTTCTAGCAGAGACACAGGTTAATGCTTGTGTTTTCTACCATTTCCTGCAGGCATCCCCAGCTGCTCTAGCAAAAAGTGTTTTGGCTGAAGTTCCAAACCAAGTCGTGGACTATTACAATGGCAAAGGGATAAAACCAAAATGTATGTCAGAGTACGAGTCTTCCAGGACACTAGCTCCATGAACCTGCCTGCACTCTTTTACAAAATTAAAAAAGAAAAATGCTACGGTCTACAACTACTGTATTTTAAAAAATGAAACAAAAAAATAGCACGTTTTGGTGATTTTTAACTAAAATAACTTTTTTTTTTTTTTTTTTTTGCATGTGTAGCCTAAAGGCTTAAATCTGTTAAGCGGTTGTATTGTTGAAAACTTTTTATGAGAAAAAAAATCCAGAAAAAAAAAAAGTGAACTCTTTACATTACAGCATGTTGCCTTGAAATAAAAAGTTATCTGTATCTGGTTTTTATACAGGTTTGTTGAAATTTTGCTAAATTTCTTATATTTACACTGTAAAGCATTTTGAAATATTTATTGAGAGTCGATAGCCAAAATGTCTTTGGTTTAATCTGCTATGAACTGAGAGATTTTTCAAAATGGCAGATGCATGAACTGTATTTTGCATGTTTAAAATAAAAACAACACAGTTTTGCAGTTGTCTTTATTTCTCTCTCTGCCACAAGGCTGCCTGTTTTCAACTTCCATATTCCAAGGGAAGGGTAATAAAGTGTTTCAAGAGACACCTGACATGAAGCATGGGCATTTCTAATGTTAGCACCTTATGACGTGGACACCCAAACAAACCCACTCAGTCTGTGGTCTGAGTAGCAATTTTTCAAAAGCCTGACAAATCCAGCTCTTACAAAGTGTTCAGACCACAGCTGTAAAGAGATCTGGCTTGGAGAGCATGATCCATCAGGACTGCGTGTCTTAAAACATGCCTACTTAATCCAAACAGTCTGGCTGTCTTTCAAACAGGATGTATTTTCGCTATCCAAATTTATAATCTCTTCTGTTTGGGAATTGTTATTTTGTTTCATTTGTGTTTTTAAATCTCACACACAGTATCCAACCCTATGTGGCACATTTTCCAAATGAAATTTTGCACAGCCTGATTTTGTGACAAGCAGTAATTTGTAACTTCATCCTCACACAGATCACCTGTGTGTGTGATAGAAGAACTATTTTTTACCAAAGGAATATTGAAGCCACCTTTCTTTAAAAAAAAAAAAAAAAAAAAAAAAAAAGAGGACACACAAGAACAGAATGATGATGGATTGCACTTTATTTATGTATGTAAATGAAGAAATTAGATCAATGTTAAATTTTTGTTTGAAGGACATGTTAAAAACTAAGGAGAAAATTTGACAAAAAATAATCTGTGTGGGATTGTCCAAAAGGCACAACTTTGGGTGAGTTGTACTCCCACTAAATTGAAAACATTCTTGTTGCTAGATCCTGAAGAAGCTGTTTGGGGCCAGTGCTGAATATTTTGGAAATCTTCCCCTGTTACCCTGTTTTGGTTAAGAAATACATATTTTTAAATGAGTTTGCAGGTAATGTAGTAGTCGAGCTCCCTGATTCTCCTTTAGAGGTAACTTCCAAAGGATCAGCTTTGATTGATGATTTTGTACTCTTGAATGAAGGCAGTGGGATAGCCAAGATGCATGGGGCTGCCTCCCCAGTACATTTGTTCTGCCCCATCTCTATCCTGCAGTGCCATCATTCACACTTGCTTGTAAAGATTTCTTCAGCTGATCAGATACTGAGCAGCAGCCAGTATTACTTGGTTATGGGTATAAATTGTCTGGAGATGTCCAAACTGATAGATCTCAAATCCACATTTTCATGTAATGGCTGACACTTCATTTGAGAGCTTACCTGTCAGGCTGCCCATCTCTCCCTCCGTGGGTGTATTTCATCTGGAAGCTACTGTGATCTCCCTTTACGTGTCATACACCATTCTGCCAATGACTTTTAATTCTTACATACAACACCTCTAGTTTCTCCTTCCCACTTCCCCCCTATTTTATTTCCTTCCCTATTCTCAGGAGGAGCATTTTATTGCTGTTAAAGCACAGGACTGAAAAATCAATGACTCTGTGTTCTTTCCTCCAATATCTCATTTTGTTTTCTTACCCAAGATTTTTAAATGTTCTGTACCTCAGATTCCTCATCTGTAAAAAGAAGGTCACAGTCATGTATCATAAATATCTCTCAGTAGTACTGGGGGACTTTAATACTTGAAAAGTGATTTGAGATCCTTCCTCAGAGGCATGATGGTGTTCTCACCATGTAAAGAGTATTACGTTACCCTGGGACCTGCATTAGGGGATGTCATGTACAGCTGAGGAAGAGTTCAGCCTTTTCTTTATCATTTTCCAGGCTGAATAAAAGAAAGCTTTCAGCAAGAAAAATTAGGAATCAGGTAAACTGTTCTTCTGGTCCATGTGATCTTTGACTAAACTAATTTTGAAGTGTTTATGGTTACATAGAATTGGGTGGTTACAGCTCTTCATTTCCAGAGGTGTTACAAGGTGCTTCTATAATGTGGCATCACATAAAATGCAGAGATCAACGGGCTATTGTATGCTGAGCTATATAAACCATTAGTTATTTTCATGTATGTACATGGTCTATATAAGTGTCTTTAGAACCCCAGCTGCTGCAGATCTTTCTGTTTACTTCACACAATCCGAATTATAAATGCTCTCTACTTTAAAAAAAAAAATCAGTATTTTTTTAGTATTTTTTAGTATTACTGATATAAGTCAGCAATTCTGTAGCAGCCCTCAAGTACTTGGAAAGATACCTTTGTATTGAAAAATCAATTGGAAATCTCCTTCAGTCTGTACAAATCTCAGCATGTGAGACAAACACGTAATAGTGTGGTGAGTTGGTGTAGGATGCACTGAAGACAACTGGCCATATGGTAAAGGCTTTCTAATGAGGCTTTGGATGTTATTTTCATTGCTCCAAGCTACTCTCTGCAATAAAATACTGTGACCTTTGTGCAGGGTAACCTCAATAAACATATGACTATATCTCCTGATATAGGGGAAAATGGGATATTTTTCTCCTGTTTTATCTACTTAGGGTTTTAACAAGGCTATTCTGCAGCTGATGGCTGAACTGCCATCAATTTCTCCTGCAGATTTTTTATGCAAAATTAAACTTCTACTGCCTTTTGATGGATCATTTTAAATTCTGAAAACTGCTTTAAAATAAATTACATCTTGTCCTTCTGAGATAACCAATGATCTAAAATATATTCTCTGCTAACTACAACCCTGCCTTCCTTTTTATCTCAAATCCAATTCAAAAACCAAAAAAGTCACAGAAAACTCCTATTAGCCCAAAATACATTAACATCCATAATTCTTGAGCCAGATACTGGGATAAGTTGTATTTTTAGTTTTTAGAGGAAACTAAGTCCACAAGTGATTTGAAAAAAGCACTAATACACTGGTAAGTGCTTCTAAGTGCTTATTACCCTAAGGTAAAACCTTTCCATATGAAGATTTTACCACGATTAATTACGTAGTTTTTTTTTTTTTATATATATATATTTTTTTTTAAGGAAGGATGAGCTGGAAGATTCCTAGGATAGGTTTACTCTTCTCAGGCTATTTTTTTTTCCCCCATTTACAGGAAGTGCCATTTTTGCCACAAGATAAATAGTTCATAGCACCACCACCTGTCCTCCTTCACACAGAGGTCTTATTTGTACCTGCGGTCCTGAGCTGAGGAGCTGCACTATACTGGTGACAATTTCAGCAGTTAGAGACATATGGGTGATAATTGTCAGCCCAGCTGCATGTTTGCTTGAAGCATTCACTGCAAACCATCAGCTGGCTGCACTCCCACCCCCTCTTTTCTTTTGTTGTTTTTTCCAATTTCATTGCAGACTTGGAAAGATCATCCAAACTGATCAGGTGAAACCCAGGTGACCTCTCCTGTGAAGACAGTTCAAAAGTGGTGTTTTCACTTCCTGCAGTGGCGAGGACTACCCAAGGCAGCAGACTGGTGGGAAAGGTTTCTGTAATGGGTACTCTTCCTTTCCTCAGAAAAAAGTGGCAGCCATTTCCACTGCTGTGCAGAAAGCCTTTTACTGCTGTGTTCAGGAGGCCCTTGAATTAGAGTCCCACTGATTAGAACAGGCAGTTTGCCATCTGATTGCATTCAGAGTTGCAGAGATCTTGCTACACCCACTCCCCCTTACACACACAAAACTGACGAGTTCATGCCTCTTTAGCACCATGACAAGCTGCATGCACCTAAAAACCAAAAAAACCAACCACCAAACAAAACAAAAAAAAAAGGTTGATTTTGCATCATGATAAAAAGGGGAAAAAGTACAGAACTGAATTTTTTCTCTTAGAAATGTGTGCCCCTGTGTATTACTTCCAAGTTACTGTTGCATGAAATCCTGTGTCACCTCAGCTGTGCAAGATGATACATGAGAAAAGCATCATACTGTGGCAACAAGGCTCTCTAGGATCAAGGGAGCCCTCTTCTCTGGCTGAGAACGTCTGCCATGGCTTGGCATGTTACTTGATCTTTCCATGTGCTGTGATTGCAGATCTCAAAAATGGGGGCAAACACAATTTTGCTACTTCCTGGGGACTTTTGGTAGACCCTTTATTTCTCCTGCTGTAAAGGTCCCTGTCAGAGCAGCAGTATAAGCTACCAGTGGACCCAATTAGAAAACACGTCCGCATGAAATTTAGCAACATCCCTGATGCTGTTCTTGATGCTAGGGAGAAAGCAAAAAGATGCAATGGTCGCTGTGATAGCGAAGATGATCACCCAGCTTCAGAGAGGGAATGTCAGTTGGACTGTAAACTTGGGAGATGCATTTCTGAACACACTATGTGGCTACTTCTTAAAAAGATAAGAAGTAAATTCGGGACAAGGAATGTATGTGAAAGCTACTGGTAAGTGTCTGGATCACAGTTTTGGGTGTGAACACCAAAATATCACAGTTACTTGCCTCAAGTGCAACACCCCCCCACACATATACCATAGTAGGGGAGAAGATGGGAGTAATGAGGTAAAGCAAGGGCAGATTCCAGTTGACCAGGCTGAAAGCTCTTGTGTCCTTATAAAAAGGGATTTCTGCTGAACACAGAAGGGAATCTTGGGTTCATACTCCTTCACCATCCTAACTCATGCACTCTCAGCTGTCCTGGTTCCCTGCTCAAAAAAAGGAAAAAAAGAGTGAGTCAAACCTGAATACTGATGAAAGCTAGACCACACCAAAGCCAGACTGTCACAGGTACCATGCCTGTGTCAGGCTGTCCAGAACCCTCTGCTTGACCCACCCATTTTAATTTTAGCAGGAACTTTTCCTGGCTACACTATTAAATACACTTCCTATAAATGCTGCCCACCCGCCCAGCCACTCGCTAGGAGCACATAATCATAGAGTGATGGGATCATTCAGGTTGGGAAAGTGCTCTAAGATCACCGAGTCCACCCATTGTCCCAGCATTGCCAGGGCCATCACCCCGTCCACAAGTGCCACATCTGCGTGTCTTTTTGAACACACCCAGAGACAGTGATCCCACCACCTTTCCTGGGCAGCCTGTTCCAATGCTTAACCACCCTTTCCGAGAAGAAATTCTCCCCAATATCTGATCTGAACTGTCTCTGGCACAACTTGAGGCCTTTTCCCCTCCTCCTGTCGCTCATTTCCATGGAAGCAAAGCCCTGAAGTAGTTAAGCTCCGCACCCCGAGGAGGTTTGAGACAGCAGAGTCGCTTCTTCCCACACACCACCACACCCCCAGGGCATCTGCTCAACACCTGCGGGAAGGTTTTGGGTCCATTGTCCCGCAACCCTGCGTGCCTAAGGGGTGTTTGCCAGCGATCAACCCCAGCAGCCGCTGGCATTTTCCCGTTTTAGACACTTGTATGTTGGATTTCACTGGCTCCCGGCTGGAATGCAGGCAGTGATGGAAGGGCTGCGGGGGGTGGGGAGGGAAAGGGGCCCGTGGCTATTTCTGGATCTGCTCGCCCTTGGGTGAGGTATTCCCCTCGGGTCAGAGTAGCTCCACGGGCCTCGGGTGCTGCAGCCCACGCCCACGACTTTGGGGTGATTCGGGAGTTTTTATGTCACTCTTGATCTCGGAAGACAGAGAGTTCTTGCCCGGAACTCTCTGTCCGGGGCAGCACGGAAGGTTTCCAGCGGCGGACGCGGCGGGGCCGGAAGGCGGTGCCGGGCTGGCGGCATGGCGGGCTGGGGGCTGCTGGCCCGGCTCGGCGAGCGCCTCTGCGCGGCGGCGGCGCCGGCTCCCCGATACAGGTAGCGATACGGCTGGGAGGGCAAGGGGCTGCTCCGGAGGAGGGGAGGGAAAGAAGAAGCGGCAGGAGGAGCGGGGCTCGGCCACTGTCGTAGCCCCGAGGTCATATAATCGTAGAATGGCCTGGATTGGAGGGGGACCTTGAAGATAATCTAGTTCCAGTCCCCCTATTGGGAAGGGACGCCTTCAGCTAGATCAGGTTGCTCAGAGCTGCATCCAGCGTGGCCTTGAACGTTGCCAGGGATGGGGCATCCACAGCTTCTCTGGGAAACCTGTTCCAGTGCCTCATCACCCTCACAGCAAAGAATTTCTTCCTAATATCTAATCTAAGCATACTGTCTTTCAGTTTATACCCATTCCCCCTTGTCTTGCCACTACATGCTCTTGTAAGTAGGTTTGTCTGGTCTTTCCTGTAAATTCCCTTCAGGTACTGTAAGGTGAGGGGCACCTGAGCGGCCCTTTTCCCTGGGCGGCCTTTCCCTGCCCCAGGGCGCCGTCTCTGGTCGCCGCCCTTTAGAGTCCTCTGTGCAGCCTGCTGGAAGCTTTGATCGTGGTGCCAGGGGTTACTGCTGGGGCATCTCAGCCTTAGAAATAGCCCCGGTCTTAGAAGTAGCCCCAGCCTGCGTGGGAGTTATGTCAGGACAGGCGTGTTCGCATCCAAAGCATCTTTGCAGCATAGTGAGCGACTTGGCCTGCCATGTTTTGGGTCGCCTTGGCCCACTGGCCACGTGCATTCACTACCTGTACTGTTAAATACTCCTTTGTTGCAGAGGATTGGGGAGAATTCAAGCCTTTTTCAGCCCTCATAAAATTTATGGCAGGACACTGAGCGGTTTAGCAGTGTTTGGCTGAAAATCAGAGAGTTGTTAGGGCTGGAAAGGAGCTGAGGATCCAAGTTCTAAGCTGAGGTCTAATTTTTTTCTCACCTTGTGGCCAGCCCTGAGGTCAGACTAGTTTGCCGAGGGCTTTGTAGTTTTGGGCCTTGAAAGCCTCCAAGGACTGACTCTGCATAGTCCCTCTAGACCAGTGCCAGTGATTGTCTTCAGGCTGAACATTTTTTTCCTTATATCAAATCTGAATCTCAGTTTATAGCACTTCTCACTCGACTGATGTGCACCTCATTGACATGGCCTGCCTCGGTCTTGTCAGTAGCTTTCTCACTAATTATTCCATGCCACTTGTGGATGGGAATGTGCATCTCTCCTTTATGAATTTCACTGCGTTCTTTGTTGGCTTGTCCCTACAGCTGGCAGAGGGACACACCCTTGAGCATCATTCACCACTCCCTTCAAATTTAAGAACGGTGCACTCATCTTCTCTCAGAGGCCATTGATAAAGATATTGAACAGGACAAATCCCTGAATAGACTCTTGAGGAGCTCTGTTTGTAACTGGCATTCTAGTAGAGTCCAAACCATCAGCTGTGATTCCTCCAGCTGATGATCCAGCTAGGTTTCTTCTCAGCTGATAGCCCACCCATCCATATCATAACATCCCGTCTTGGATAGAAGGATGGTGCAAGAGATTGTTTTTAAAAGTCTTGCTGAAGTTAGGGTAAACAGTACCTACTGTTGTCTGTTTCTTCATGGAAGTAGCTGGTTTTTTATCTTAAAAGTAGTGGTTGGTTGGTTGTTGCTTGCTCCCCTTTGATATAATTCAGAGTACTTAGTCAAATGACAGATAATTAGGTGTTTTATAAATTAGATGTAAAATACATGTTATGAGACACTTTTTGTATTGATAAGACACTCAAAACCTTTTCCCACCTCTGGAAAGGGGTCAGCTGGGCTTTGTAGTCAGACACATCAACAGTTCAACGTGGTGGCATGAGAATCTTTCTGAAGAGAATGTGGAGTTCCTCAAGAAGATAACTGCAGAGGAGTACAAAGCTCAGACAGCCAGCAAGCTGTGCCCTCTGAAAGATGAGCCATGGCCACTGAATAAGTGGACACCAGGTGAGAAAGTATCTCCTCTGAAATAGCTCTTCATGTTGAAATTATTGTTGTTGTGTTGTTGCATTCAATAACATCAGGATTGTGTCTTGTGAGGTATTCTTTTTGCTTTCACAACAATCATTCAATAAATCTCCTAGTAAATAAGTAAATGTAATACATCAGTTATCTAAAAAGCATTTCAAATATTACAAGATGTTAAGAACCTTTAAAGTTCTTAAGTTTAGTTTTTAGTCCAGCACTTGGCCCATCCCACTGCTGTACAACAACAAGGTATAAATTAAGAATTCATCAAAAAGTGTCCTTGGAATATAAAGCGTATGAACTTGAAAATGTTCTTGTTAATATTGCTGGAGTCTGAAGAGAAGTGTAGTATATAGTACCATCCCACTTCTGGTCTGTGATTACAAATTCTTAGGCACAGAATTAAGTTTCTGAGCTTTCAGAAGGGTCACATCATTTGTGTGGCAAACTTGACAGATTGCCTTTGCAAAGATTGGGGTTGGAGCAACCTCCTACAATAAACTTTTCAATAGTTAGTTTGACTCTAATACATGAGTGTTCTATTTTGGAGAAAAAAAAAAAGAGTGGTAGTTGCATTTTCTATCAAACACAGCTGAAACAAGTAGAACTTTACTGCTGGTGGGGTTAAAAACCCCTAGCCTACATGCAAGGATTTAGTGGTGTTTTTTCTCCTTCACCTCCTTAGGAAAGATCAGAGTTAATGGGACTTTGTAGATTATTAGATAAAGTCTTTCAATTATTATGTGTGAAGGTGCATCCATGTTCTGTTTTGATCTACAGATTCCATCAGAGTTGGTCTTGTTGCAGTAAAACTGGGAATGATGCCAATATGGACCAAATCAGGAGAAAAACGTGCTGTCACACTACTTAAGGTGAAATAAAACATAATGAATTTCATCTCCTGCACTCACTGTATTCAGATTGTAAACCTGCTGTTTCAAGGAAAAGTGAAACTTACTACTTGTACAGAGTAGGAAATCCTGACAGAAAGTGAAGATTTCTTTCACTCCTGTATAGTACACCAGCCCCATTCTGTTTATATCCAAACTTTCTGGGAGCGATCTGCTCTGCTGCCTCAGCCATTCAAATGCTGCAGGGCTGTGAGTGGTGTTACCTAGGTGATGCAACAAATGGGGTTAAGTATCCCACTTCACTTCTTTTATTTTTCCACCTGCAGGCGTGCTGGAATTAGTTTCACCTTGGTTTCTGAGCCTTTGTAGCTCTCAAGCTGCTTCTTCATATTCTTCATATTCTCCAGCAGCTGCTCTTGTGATGAAGCCTTTTGCTGACTGGCTGCTGCCATTAAGAGGAGCCACTGCTGTGAAGGCCATCAGGTTTACAGGGCAAAGGAGTAGGAGTCTAAAATGGGGGCTCTTACCATGTGCTTTGTATGCTTACAATAGGGATTTTGCAGATCTTGTGTGAAAAAGATGATTATAATTTCTAGAGCATTTATGAAATTAGTTTGCATTCTACTAATTTTTTTGTTTTTTGTTTTTTGCTAAAATGAGCCTTCAGTTCATTGGAAAAGCAATGTCAGTGGTAAAAATGTAACACACTGTCTTACTTGTAGGCTGTATCTTCTGTTATGAAAACAGAGACTGACTTTGGTGTTCTGTTGTCTTAAAGCATACACATCTTATGCTCAGATGAATGCTTTCTCTTTTTTCTAGGTTCAGGATTGCCATGTTTTAAGATATGTTTCAAAGGAAGAGTCGGGTGGAAAAACAGCTAAGCTTCTCGTTGGAGGCAAAAATGTATCTCCTTTTTCTGTAAGTGAAGCACTTTGGGTGTCTCTGCTGGAATAGTTGTTTCTGTTGTGATTTCAGTACAAAAGTAGCATAAGTAGACTTCTCTGAAAGATTTATTGGCACACAAGCATGCTTTGTAATTGGTTTTTTGTCACATTCACTTTTGCCATTTCCTAAAGCAATTGTAAATTCTTGTTTAAGAGAATAGCAAGAAGAACTTTTTGAAAGTTTTGCCTCTTAATTCTCTAGGAAAGCTGTGGGTTTAGGAATTTGCTTTGATGTGCAGTGTCCCATGCTGGTGAAAGGGTTTGAAGGACCATGAGCAGTGGAGAGGTGTATGTGTTCTTCAGGTCTGTGGAGATGCAGTTGAGATGAGGACTGCAAGATACTTCAGATGCCTGTTCTAAATTGACTCAGCTTCACCAGTTGTTTACCATTTAGTGTTCTAGCTTACTGTTCTTTACTGTCTTTCTAGCTATAGTTCTAATTCTTCCCCAGGTCTGTTGACATTGTTTAATTTGCCTGTAGTTCTGCTGATAAATAACTTCAGGACATATATTTTCAAGAAGATAACTTCATGATTGTAACTCATCAACAGCCATATCAAAGCCACTCACTTGTTTAGACATCCCAGTTGCTTGATGTGGAATTCCCAGATATCTCTAGTGGTTGAAGTTGTCTGGCAGAGCTGTCATTCCCCAGGATGAGTTATAGATCAAGCAGGAACAAAGCATTCCCTCAAAGGATTGCTGTTGATGTGGTGCATTATTTCTGTAAAATATAATTTTTCAATTTTTTCAATATCCTGACACTCATTTGTCTGGTTTAGGTGAGTAAAAAAATCCCAGGGCTCATGACTACTGAGCAGATTATCTCGGTTCATGATCATGGCTTTTTGAGGACCTAGATTTCCATTTTTCAAATAGATGGTTGTCCCAGGGCCTCAAAATTAATCTGTGTACTTGTTTCTGCTTTAGTGGAGGTAATTTTTTCACTTGATAGATCTGTTGGCTTTTTAGTATATTCTGCTGATTTTGAACAGGCTTATACGTCAAGGTACCATTCTTCTATTTCAGTTGGTTTATGCCATATTTGACTGTCACAGCTTGTGCATTTCAGGTGTCTATCCTGTCACTTTAGTCCATTTCCACTTTTCAGGTGTGATATTTTTCATGGAAAAATGACAGTTGTGGTTTTTTCTTTCCTGTTACTTTGGTCTAAGACATGCAAGAGGCATGGGAATAATAATTTTCAAGTTGTATTTTGCCCATTAGACTCCTTAGAGTTGATCTTTTCATAAAGATGATGTTACCAGTAAAGCCAGTATGTTGTCAGAATAAAAACATGCCAGAAGTAAGGAGGTATAAAGAAAACTTCTTTTTAAACAGCTCCTATGAAAATTTCTTCAAAGCAGAGCTACCTAAAAAGTCAACTCATGGACTTTTCAGTAGTGTGAGTTATGTTAAGGACTTTCTTTGGGCATAACTTTTCTCAAGTCAGCTTCTATTAATTTGGTTGAACTTAGACTCATTTTATAAAGATGTTAATTAAATATCTTTTGAGTGAGGTCCTGACCTGAGACTGAACTGTGTAGTATTATTATTATTATTCTGAGCTCTGTATTATTATGTTTGTCATCATTACTGTATAAACTAGACAATTCCTAAGGAAGAATTTGGCATACTGATTCTGAGCAGTTTTACTTGTTAAGGAACTAACAAGTGATGTATTTCTATGGTTTAGCTGCAAGTCTGGATCATTGTTTTCCTATGTTTATCAGCCTTTTTATGTGTTTCTTTTCTCTCTGAACTGTCAGAAGTGAGAATTAAAAGAAAGGTGAATGATACTGTCATGTATTAGCATAAGCAATTTCTCTTTTGTTGATTCCTCATAGGAACATCTGTCTTCCTTAGATTCCTCACAGCTACTGATTTTTAATTAATTCAATCAAAAGATTCCTTCAGTAATTTTTCTAACAAAGAATTTCCTGTATTTCTTTGGAGTGTCAAATTGCTTTAAAACTGATAAGGAGTATTGCATTTTTAGCAAGATTTATTTTTCCTTTTTAGCCTGATGTATGTCACTTTGTTATAAGTGAACAGATTTTTCATGATTTTTTAATGCAAAATTATGATCAAAAGTACAGTTCTGCCAGTGCTCAAACATTTTTTTTGGTCAAAAATATTTCATATGCTTCCTATAAGTGAGGGCATATTGATGATTTTCTTAGAATACTGGAAGACGTTGTTGGTGTTTTTAAAAATAAGGAACATCTGAGAGTTCACTCAGTGTTCCTCTCTTCAATTTTGCTTTTTAGGAAGGGTTTGTAGCAGTGTTTTGTTTGTAAAAATACATCTCTCTGACTTGGCTGTTTGAAGAGGAGATGCTGTTACAGTAGAACAGTTCAAGGCTACAGCCTAGAGTAGGACTCTTGAGATGTAAGTGAATTTTACCCTTCGACTTCATCATGCTCTTCTTCAGCTGTGCACAGGGCTCCCCTTGCCGTAGCTTAAGGCAGCAGTTTTACATAGCTGGAAATAAAGGATTGATATACAGGCACTTAGTAGGAAGTCCATATCTGTATTTTTCATTCTCACATATAGTTCTGCAGATTAATACAGGTGCTCCACTGATCCCTCAAATATTTGTGGTCTTAGGAGAGATTTTTTATGTAGTTGATTGTGGTTTTTAGAAGGTATTTGTCGTATTTCGTACTGTGACATCAAGTTAACAAATCTCTCGAGAAACACTTTTCACTCTCAAAGACAGATAAATTTAAAATTTCTGGGTTTTTTCTACATCAGAGATCCTCATCATTTTGCTTCCTCATTTTTGATAAAACTTTCTCTGTTACAGCAGTTTTCAACAAATGTTTGAAAAGAAAAGAATGGGCAACAGGGAGATTTTCAAAACTGTTTTCAAATACACTAAGTAACATTTTTAAAGTTGTTCACATTGCTTGCTCTTAAAATACACAAAATAATTTTTGAGAGAGTGTGAACTGCACAGGAGTTTTGAGAAGCAAACCTCAGAGATGAGATTATCCAAGTGTGACACTATTGTTAGATGCTTAAATTGCTTTCTCCCAAAAATCATTTGAAGGAAAATCAGCTGCATCGCTTTCTTTTTCCTGTGGCCACAGTTTTCCTGTGAATCACTGTTTGTGTTGCTTGGTTTTGTCTCAAAGTTCTGCTGTTCTGTGAGATGTCCTGTTTAAAACAGCTAAGAATAATTTTGAGTACTTTTAAATTTGTCAGACTCATCTGAAAAGAAAATCCTTGCTTTAGTTAGCAATGGTTTGACATTGAGTGTACTTGCTATATCTTAAAAATACATGGACTGTAAACTTGTTGTTACTAAATTTTCTTTTTTTTGCCCAGAGACTCAAGATTTTCTTCTGTGGAAATTTAAGCATTTTTAGAAGTTTCTGCAAGACGAGAATTTGTTTCCATGGTTTTGTTAGTTAAATACATTATACTTACCGTGGTGTGGAACTAAGTCATCATAAGCTTTGAAAAAGAGAACCTACTTCTAAATTACTACAAAACTCCTTGTAAGCCATGATAAAGAAAAGTAGCATCTGTCATCTATCATCTACATTCTAAATGATTGGTTTCCATTTTCTGATCTTTGAAATCTCCGTATATATTTTGTTTATATTAGGTAGCTGTAGGGTAACTGCTTGACAGAAAATTAAAGGAGTTTTTAAATAACACACAGGAGTTTTTAAATAAGTTCTATGTAGAGATAAAATACAAGCCTCAAGATGAAATTCTAGTATGATCTGTCTTTTTCTCTGAGTGATGTTAATGGTCTGTAATTGTTTCCTGTGCTAGGTTAATTCTTGGGTATTTTAAGATGACTTTTTTTTGGTGGCTGCTTTTTTGTTACAGAAACCAGAGTCTGCACATGAAATTTTTAAAGAAGCTGGAGTGCCACGGAAGCAGAAAGTTTCAACATTTAATGTAACAGATGATGCCATAATTAAACCAGGTAATCTTTTTGAGCTACTGAGTATTACGTGCATAGTCATTTAGCATCTGCTGCTTGTAGACCTAAAGGAAGTTTTGATGTGTATTTCAGTGTTGTTTTTTATAGAAATTGATGAATTTGTTGTCATTAAGCACAAACAAACTGTTTTCATATAGGTAAAATTAGAAGATGGGTTTTACTTTTTAGTTGATGAGATGTAGGATTTTTGCTTTTTCCATGTTTCCATCTATGAGAAAATAAATCCAATCCAAATTTACTAATCTGAACATTGAGTTAAGAAGTAAATGTCTGTAACCTTGACTCACTTATTGGGCATAAATATGGATGCAGTTACAGGAAGTTCTGTGTTTATCCTAATGAGAGGGACACTGAATTTTGTGGTAATGTTTCTCAGGATCCTGAAATAGCAGTTTGAGTTTTGTTTCTTCTTGCTGCATTCAAAAGTAGGACAGTGGCTGCTTTTTCTGATAGCTTGCAAAGTAAAACACACTAAAACATGTTTATAACTAACATTCTCACTAAAAATCAGTATTGGGAGTTTGAGGATCAAATGAAAATTTTTTAAGTTTCTGAGGTTTTATTAGGTAGTGTGTTTAGGTTGTGTTTATTTTGTGTTTTTTGGCAGTTACAAGTATTTTCTGAAGAATTAAGTAGGGTAGGAAATTCTAATATATTGCATCTTCAGTGACATTAGTGGAGGGGTTTTTTTTACTTTTTAAGACAGTGCAGTAACTGATAATAATCATATCTGACATGAAGTCTGGACTGATCAATGGAAGCAATAGCTTGAGATAAAGCAGAATTAGAAGTTTTTGATAAAATGATTTTGCAGTGTGTGTGTTTTGTACATAACATCCTTTATGTGCATGATTTTGTGTCAGTTGGTAGGTATCTTACCCAAATGGGTGGATTATGTAAATATAACATGAAATATTATGAAAGTTTTTATGCTTGAGACTTATGAGAGGTTTACATCATTTAAGTTTACATTCATACAGATCTGAGAAAGCATGAAAGCAACTGAAAAAACATGAAGCAATTAAAATTTCATTTTTTTTAATGGATGTTTAACAAACTGCAAACTGAAATATGCAGCCACATGGATCTTCAGATTAAAGTTCATTTATCATAAACTAAGTTATCAGTTTTGCTTTGTTGGGTTTTTTTTAAGCTGCTAATGAAAGAATATTTGCAGTTGGATAAGAAAAAATCACTGAAGACAAAACAAATCTAAAATTTTGATACTGCAAGTACTTAAGGAATTAGTGTAATTACAGTGAGGTGAATGATGTCACTGACTTACAGTAGTTCTGTTTCTGATAAAGGTTAGTGTGTAGACAATTCCCCAGTGGAGGAAGCTGTACTTTTGCCAAGAATTTAATTGGGAAACACTGCATCTTAATAGAGGAACCGTTGCAAAATTTTATTTTATTTTTTTTAAACCCTCTACCTTGTAAAGTGCTAGTAGTTCTAAGCGCAGCATATTCTGTTTTTTTGCTAAGCATAAGTATTATGAGTCTTAACTAATCAGGCTCTTTGGCCTTTGGCAATGTATTTATGTAAAGCCTTGACCCTTCCCTCCTGCTCATCTGAAATTGGGTTATTTCCTAAGAAGTCTGCTTAAATAGTAAATACAAAGCATCTATTTCAGTCAGTGAGGTTCATAAAGAAGAACAAATAAGGTGTAAATAAGAAGTTCTCTTTTCTTTCCTGTGACTGTAACCTACCCTGGAGGATGAGGTAGTGGTTTGAGGATTTCAGCCCTAAGTTGAACATGATCTCTCCTCTTCTCCTGTAGGTACTCCTTTGTATGCTGCTCACTTCCGCCCCGGGCAGTTTGTGGATGTTACGGCAAAAACGTAGGTGCATGAGGATTTATTGTGTCTTAAATCTCTCTCAAAGAGACTGGCTGATTTTTTTTTCCCCTCCCTCTAATTTGACTTGAATCCATGGCTCACAAAAGCTGAAATACAGTTGCAATGGTAGTGACAGGAAATTGATGTCCGTTCACTCATTGGGTCAAAAATACCAAATTACATTTCTTGATGAGGCTTACTCTTGGTTTTGAACAAGGCAGGTAGACTATTAATACTGTTAAGGCTGAGGTTCTGCCTTTGTTGTCTCTCATGTGCCCATGATTAGCATGGGCAAAGAGATTTTTAATGCAGTATCTCTAGTATGTAAAAACGGAGAATAAATGCTGAAAGGTATCAGTTCCCAAAAAAGACTGCTTAATTTTAATTTGGTGAAGAGATGGGAAGAGAGATGTGGACTGAAAGGATAGCGAAAAGCTAGTGAATACATTTAACAGTACAACAGAGCTGTCAAATTAATTTTTTGTTTGTTTGTTTTGTTGGGTTTTTTTTGTTTTTGTTTTTGTTTTCTCTCACATTCCAGCTCATGTCCTTGCCAGCAGTGGCTAAAGATCTTTTACTCTAATGTGGGAGGAATAATTTACTCTCAGACCACTGCAAATGCCAAATTAGAGCTCAAGTAATAGACATTGTTCAAAAGAAAAACTGGCATTTTGTGGCAAAGACTGGTCCTGACTCTTGTTGTATATCTGGGATTTCCCCTGACCAAGAGAACTCCTGTCTGCATATTTGAGTGTCGTGATACAAGGATAATATTTGCCATTACATGTTTTATTTTCTCTGCAATGGAGATAGTACCCAGCTGCAGTTGTCTCACATGTAGGGTGTAATGCCTATAAATGTCCAATACTGTTCATAGGATTTTGTATATATGGGGAAACCAGCCATATCAACAGAGCTGAGTATGCAATTCTAGTAAAACTACACCTCACTTTATTTGTGAGGGCACTCTGTTGAGAAAATTAAGGAATTTACTTGAATTAGTATTTTTTCTATGTCAGACTTCCTTATGAAATACTTAGACCTGGCATATTATTCATTCTGCTTCTAAACTGCATTCAGTGAGCATCCTGTAAGAGACCACAGCTTGTTTGCAAAATAAATCACATGATCATTAGGAATACATTTAATGGAGATTAAGTGTCAGTCTTTGTTAATGCAGAAAAGCTTTGTTTTTCTAGGAGTTTTTCCAAGAACTAGGGAAGGGATTTTTTTAGCAGTGTAGAAGATACTGGTCAACAGCTACAGGGTATTGATTTGTATCTTGCTTTTAGTATTTGAAAATACTAGCAAGCTAAAAATAGACTGGGATCTTGGTCCTGTTCAATGAATCCATCCTAGATTGTAATTCAGTATTTCTAATATGTTTTCTCCAGATATTTGTATTATCCCATTTCAGAAATTGGCTGTGTGTATGTACTGCTAATTTGGTAGCATATTTCTTGTAATCCTTCTGTAAAGGTGAAGGAAACGTTCTTTAACTAAAGAGAAAGGTGAAATGGGTTTTCTGTCAGTGTGGTTCTCTAATCATTCCAGTCTTTCTGTATAAAAAAAATTCGAACCTTTTTCTGTGGTTCACTCACATTCTGATTTCTACTTCTTTAGAATGCTTCATTTATCATATTCCCTTACTTCTTGGACAAGAATTAAGTTACATTACTACATTTCAGTTTTTCTTCTATTCTTTTACTTTTTTCCAAACAATTTGATCCAGCAAAGTCCCATCCAGCTTGGGGGAGGACTTGGAGGAAGGACCTGGATCTTTCTGATTCAAACCATTATGAACTTGAAAAACAGTAATTCCTAAAAACATGCTGTCAAGTAAAGTTTTTAGAAATATATTTACATGAACATGTATTTTACATTTTTGAGTAATTTTGCTTTAATTGAAGGAAATGCCAGAGTGTACAATATTAGAAATCATATGGATGAAAATAGCAGTGCTGTTGATAATAGTGTGATGAATTGTAATGAGTCCTAAAAGAAGAAAGAAAGAAAATTAATGTTGCCTCAATGAGGAGATAAGACAGTGGAATATAAAGGATATTTTAATTTTTTACCAACTTTTAATTGTTCAGATGACGATACGAAAGGCATTTTTTTGTATGCTTCCTTCTGCCAAAATGTAAATAAAAAATAACTCCTTATAAATAAGCAAACTTCAAACTTCATTTCAGAAGTCTTGGGTTAGCCTCTTCATTTGGTTACCAAAATGTAGGGGAGTTTTTTATGACTGTCTTCTTTTAATTTTCCCTACAAATGTTTTTGTCAAAGCCTTTTGAAGTGTTTTGATTCATTTATACCTCTGTAAAGAAAAACACTTTCACAGGAATGAGAGGGTTTGGTTAAAGATTTATGTATGCACTTTGGTTTTTTTGAAATCTCATAATTGTTCAGTATGGTATGAGTGGCTTTTAGAGCATGGAGAGTAGGCAGTATGTCTGCATGCTCTCACTCTTCTATAGTGCTGAAATATTTTCCTCAGTACTTATTTTTGGCAATTTAAAAGCTCAATCCTTAAGTTTAGTCGTGCTGAGCTTGGAGCTAAAACGCGCAACACCATCCAGAAACACTTCTCTCACAGGCTGCAGCTCTGTGACCCCACCTTGGGTACTGCATCCAGCTCTGTGGTCCCCTTTAGGGATGGAGCACCTCCCCTGTGAGGAAAGGCTAAGGGATTTGGGATTGTTCAGCCTAGAGAAGACTTCAGGGTGTCAGGGTGACCTAATTGCAGCCTTCCAGTACCTGAAGGGAGCCTGTAAGAAAGATGGAGAAAGGCTATTCACAAAAGCATGTGGTGACAGAACAAATGGCTTCAAAGTGACAGTAAGTTTAGATTAGGTATTAAGAAGAAATTCTTTTCTGTGGGGGTTGTAAGGAACATCAGAAATGTTGTCACTCGAGAAAAGGCTGACAGTAGTTTTGTTTGAAATGGGCTAGAGTTAAGTGGTGAGTCTGAAGTGTTTATGGTTTATTTAAGTTTTGCTCGATTAACGGTGTAATCTGAGCCTGAATATGAAGTCTCCATTTGCCCAAAGTTATTTAAGTAGCTGGAATACTTTTCCTCTGCAGCATCAAAATAATGCTCTTTTCAATTAACTACATTTGAAGAGTTACTAGCAAAATAAATTGTTGCTTAATTAGAGTGGTTTATTCCAGTAGCTTTCTAAATGAAAGTTCTCTCATTAGGTACTGGCATTTTACTTGTATCAAACCTGGAAAATTAGGCTTTGTACAAAATTGGGTGGTTGACCTCATCACCTGCTTTCCAGCAGGTGAGTCCAGAACAACTGTAATTAAACTCTATTTTTAGCTCTATAGAAAGATTATTTCCCTTTTATTTAACTCCTGCGTGTCTTAGTTTTTCATATCATCATTGCTCCCTGTGATTAATTTCTGGAAATCAGGTAATGCTTTCCTCAGTGAACCAAGTAATCTAAGTCACTGAATTGCATCTGTTGAAGAGCAGGGATATTGTACATTTCATACCTAGTTTTATAAGGCTCATGCATGTGGGGTTTTGTGTTCAGATATGCTGTCTAATGTTACTGTTAGAACATTAAAAATGTATAGCCCTTGATTCAAAGCAAGACAACACGTAGAAGGTGTCTTAGCATGATACCACAACAGGATAAGTAGGATGTCAAACATTGTACTTCAGTGTAGGTTGTTGGCTGTCATATTTCAGGTACTGTAGCAAGCTTGATTCTTTATGAGTAGATTTGAGTTATTTTGCTAAATTAATACATAGTACTGGATTAACATCCTGCTTTGACAGACCTTAATGTTTTTTGAAAATTTCGACTGGCTTAGATTGAGTTTCAGTAATTATTTTTCTTTTATTGGTGATACTTGCTGAATGTATTCACACCTAGTAATTTTTAAGAAGGGCAAAGGGAGCAATTAAACAATTTGAAATTAATGATTTTAATAGTTGACACCTGATGTCTGTTCAAAAATCAACAAGAGTATAATCTTATATGATATTCATTATTTTTGTCAGAATAAAAAAAAATCAAGAAAACTGTACAATACACTGTTTAAACTCTTCTCTAATTTGCCATAATATGTCTTGAACAGCATGCATCTTAAGTTCTCTTCCTTGTTTATATAAGATAGATATTAGTTTCAAAAGCATGTTGCATTTCATGCAGTTGGATGAATGTAAAATCAACATATAATCAAAATATCAAAATGCATTAGAAATACAGATAAATTGTGGGTCATGGAAAATGTGCTCATCATATTTTATTTGCATATAATGAAGAAATCCACCACTTGTCTGAAAACAGATCTTATTTACATCAACTTAGGCTGGAAAAACACTGTTTTTTAGAATGCTTGAAGTATATTGGCTGAGCTACTAACTGCCTAGTTGACCAGTTCTAAATTTTATTATAAACCAAATGCTAGTAGTTCTTTTCTTTATTTTAAACTTTACATTCAGTTTAGATAATCTTATTCTGTTCTTACTCTGGTTCCAGCTTTATTTCATATAGAGCATGAATTAAATAAGAAATATACACTGTAATTATTCGTCTTCTTGACATGTGTTTATAAAAATTACACATCATTTATTCTTTTTTAAAGTAAAAAACTCCAAAATGAAAAAAAAGCTACAGCTGCTTCTTATTTAATTATTTTAATCATGATGGCTGTGTCATATTAAATAGGAAATTAATGTCAGAAGGTCATAAGGTAGTACCCTTGTAGGTAATTGGACAAATAAAAAATGAAACTAATCTGAAACATTATTGAAGTAGTATGATGAAAAAGCCTGGATAGATAGTAAGGCATTGTACTTTATAAAATACTCTTAATTTCAGCATTATGATATCTTCCCTTGACTTCAGAATATTCAGAATATTTCAGAGGCTGAAGATTTGTTTTCATATTCCAGATCAACAGATGCAAGAGAGCTTTCAGGTTTACCAGAGTGTTCATTTTTCAGTTTGATCACACTTTCTATACATTTCTAAGGCTTCAGTATTGTAAAATCTGAGTCTTCATTCACAGAAAATGCATGTGTAATTGGAAGAACCAAAAAGCAACCAAGCATTCTCTACTGCATGAATCATTAAACACTAGCAACTGTGTCATGTGATGTAATCACTTTTTTTGGAAGATATCTTATAATGTTTGATGTACTAAACTCTTTTTAAAAATACATCTCTTGCATGTATTAAGTATTTATGTTTTCAATTTTTTAAAGAACAATTTGACAGTATTCTAAATTGGTCATGTTAAAAATGAGTAAGCTGAATGAAATGTTGAAGTGGTTTCCTGACATCAGAGATTTATTGTTCTTTGCTAAGTTTGACAGTAGAGTTTACTTTTGAAATGGTAGCTTTCTATGGTTGTGTGGGTTTCTCTGAATTGCAGGGGCATTTCTACAGCTAAAGAATTTATCATGCCTCATCATTTAAAGAGAGAATTTGTCTGCTCGCTCTGTTGACTGCACAGCTGCCACCCTCTTGCAGTTGATTTTGGAGACTTTGCTAAGTCCATCTTCCAGCTAGAGATGCCAGAAGTAATCTGCTTGGAAAACATAGTCAGTAATAGGTACTTTAAAAGAAAAAAATAGCATTTTGGCAGAACAGGTATGGGTTTCCCTATAGCTTAGTTTCTGCGTGTATTTCATAGTTACTGCTCCCTAGCAATACAAAAACAGAAAAACACAAGTTTTGAGCCTCTCTTAAAGTGTATTTTTGAAACCACTTTTTACGACTATTGCTGTTTACTACTGTGAGATTTAAAGATAAGCCAGTTCTGTCCAAAAGTGGTGTTACAAAGCCTTGCATCCTTGGGATTCCTGTCTTGTATTCCTGATCCCACAGGTTCTTCCTTCCACAGGTGCCTTCATTCGGCTTCCTCTCATAGCCCTGACCCCCTTCATGTTCTCATGTCCCTCCATTGTCTGCTGGCCTGGAAGGACTTGTCTTGCTGGTGACAACCACTTGCATGACTGACCAGCCAGCTGGTCAAAGGAAGATACCACTACTTTAATTAAACTTTAGCTTTTCCTTAGCTGTAGGTAAAGAGCAAGAAATAGTCAGGAGCTTCTAAGCAAGAACTTTTTTATTCAAGCAATTACACGTGTTTCTTTGCTAAATTTAACTGGGATTGACCTGTGGGTTCTGAGTAGGGAAGGGGAAGACTGGGAGACTGATACCATGGTTGCACAGCTCATGTTCCCTTACAGTTCTGTAGCTTTTGAGAGTCTTTCTTTATGGCTATTTTTTACTCTGGTTTGATGTGTTCAAGGCAACCAGGACAGCAGTTAGAGGAGAATTGAATCAAGTGGGAAGAGGAAAGAATCTAGTTTTCATTAGTGTTGTGTGTTCTGTAGTTTTCAGTGGCATGCCGAGCAGGGAGTCAGCCAAGTGCAGTTCCTGCACAAAGCATGTTCTGTGCATGCTCATATCCAGCTTTATTTTAGATGCAAAGTGCATATCTATATATATATATATAATTTTTTTTTTTTAATGTGAAGTGCATTAGCAGAGAAAGGATTTCTGCAAATTGGAGGAAAAGGATTATCTTGCAAAGTCATAGATTCACAGGATAGTCTAAGTTGGAAGGGACCCACAAGGATCACAGGGTCCAACTCTTCAAGTGAAAGGCCCTTAAAGGGATGGAACCCACAACCTTGGCATTAGTACCACCATGCTCTGACCAGCTGAGCCAATTTCAGGTTAAATTTAATAATCAGTGCAGCCACAAATACTGTGGTCAGACTTCTCCTTTTGGACACAGACAATGCCAGTTTAACACACACTTTATTTGGCTTTTCCTTTGTGCAGTGGTAAGATGATTTTTCCTATTGAGTCTGTCCCTGCAGTAAATAGAGAATTCCAAAGCCAGTAATGCTGTCATGTGGCTGAAAGATGAAGGACATGGACTCTCAAAATACATTTTATTTGGTATTGTGCTTTAGAACTTACTTGTTGGATGAGTACAGATCAAGGGAATTACATGTCACTATACACAAAGCTGCTCTCAAGAGATGAGTTTGTCGTAGTATGGAAAAGAGATGTTCCTTCTAAGTAGTCAATCTCTTTCCTCTCTCAGTGCTTAGGCCTGATATTAAATTGTGGCGTATGTTATTATTTGGGGTTTTGTCTGGGTTTTTGTTTGTCTGTTTATGCTGGTGCTCACTTGGTAACAGATTCATTATGGTGATTTTTATTGACAGTCGCAGCAAGGAGCATTTTATGTTAGTCTTCTTGCCTATTTGACTCTTTTCTAGTGCTTCTTATTCTGTAAAGCAGTCCTAAAGCATTGTGCTAAAATATGTTTATGATATAAAACACGGATTTTTTTAAATATATTCTTCCCTAAGCTAGTGTTGTTAAAGGTAAAAAAACCGTGAACCTGACTGAAATTGTTGGTTATGGCTAGAAGCTTTATGTCTGACTAACCCAAGTTTGTCTCTTAATTATTTTTGTTTTCAGAATTGGTAAAGGATTTCAAGGTGTCATGAAAAGGTGGGGATTTAAAGGTCAGCCTGCAAGCCACGGCCAGACAAAAACTCACAGACGACCTGGAGCAATATCTACCAACGTGAGGATTCTCATTTCCTATTAAAACATTTTTCAGTGTTTTTAGAACAGCTTACTAAAACTGAGAAAATGTACAGTAGCTGGCTGCCACATTTTCTCTGTGCTAGCAGGGAATCCCAGCAGCAAAGGAAGTTCAGAAACCTGTATGAGGAGCAATGCTGTTCTCTTACGCCTCAATTTATGAATATTCTGTATTTCTGGTAAATGCACATATTTTAACTGAGCTAATTGGCGTATTTTGTAATATAGTGAGAGGAATAGTCTTAATACTTCAAAGAGAGTTCTAAGAAGCTTTTATCATGGCATTTATAGATTGGAAAGATTTGCCTGTTATTTTATACTGCAGATACTGTACTGTTCTTTGGAACCCTGGTTCCTTTAATCGCCTTGCCTGGCATGTGTAGCTGCTTAATAAACTGATCCCCATAATTTAGTAGGGAATTATTCCCAAAAGTGTGTAAGCCTCTATGCATTTCTAAGCAGAGTACAGAGTCATATTTTTACATTTCAAGCTGTAAATAATACTAGTATAAAAGCTCTTTGAGCAGGTTAATTTTAGACTTCGTCTTATAAAGGCTGTACAATATTTAGACTGAATTAGGAGGAATTTTTTGCAAACTAATTAAGATCAACTGAGTCATAGTACTGAACATGTACTGTCCAAAAATTTCTTAGAGAAATTAAAATATAAAAAAGGATTAATGCTCAAGAGAATAGTAAAAGTAAAAAGGCAACAGTCAATGAAGTTTGAGTAACTGAGAGTGTAAAAGCATGTGTTACTGATTTATAATCCTCAGTTTCAGTTGGAAAAAGAATTCTACACCTGACACTTGTTTTCACTGAAGAATGTAAATATTTGAACACTAAACACTATTTTAGCAGATGGTGTTTGTCATTAAAAAAATAACCCATCTTTTCTTTAAATTAGAATTTCTTAGGCAGTAATGTTGCATGTAATTTCACAAAGTATATAGAATGAAAAGTGCTATTGGAAATAGGTATGATGGGAACAAAACAAGGTGAAAGGATGCAACAGGGCAAAAATAATGCCTTGATAGTACTGTCCCATCTATGGTTGGCTATCTCAGACAATTTTGTAATCCAGGACTGTTCAGTAGAGAGTCCTCTTCCTAGAACTGCATTGCAACTGATTTCCTGAAATCATGATTTTCACAGGAATTAAGAAAAATTCCCAAGAGACATTGTTAATGAATAACAGAGGTGCAGAATACAAATCCCTTGATGACAATGTAGAATTGAAAGTTATTGCACTTATTCCTGTCTTTTTTTTTCCCCACCTTTGTTGTCCAGTTTATGCCCAGCCAATCAAAAACGGAGTACAGAAACTAAGGAATACTGGGTAATGGAATTAAAACTTCCATTCTCAAGAATACATGCATTTTAAAAGAGCTGATTGACATCAGTGTAAAAACTTTTTGATTAGGGAAGGAGAGAAGCTACAGTGCGTGTGTATATATATTTATAAAAAAAAATGTTGTGGTTGTGGTCAAATATTTCAGAACACATGTAGACTAGAACCTAACCTCTAGCAGGAGGTATTTAAAATGCTTATCGGGATTACATTTTTTTGATATTACATATTTTCAGCCTTGGAAATACCAGCATATTTTCTCTGGTGCACCTCTTGAGTTTGTAAGTGTACCTCTTGCAGTTAACATGGTGGTTTTGGCCTTGTTCTTATCTAGAAAGCTTCCAAAGTTTATCGTGGGAAGAAAATGCCTGGTAAAATGGGTAACATCTACAGGACATCTTTTGGATTAAAGGTGAGTTCTGGGTATACCTGTGTGTGTGTATAAGGTGATGGCATTGCCAAGCAGTGATGTCCTCTCTGTCATCTCTGCCAGAATCCAGACAGCAGCATCTTGAAGTAAGCAAGCTGGAAGGACCAGAGCAGCAAATGTTTGCTTTCTTGTGGGTTACAAATAACTTGTCTGAACATCTTTTGTGTTTGTGGTACCCTGGGAACTGGGATTTCAGGTGATACTTCTACATCCAGTGTGTTTTTCACTATGTCCCTTGACTTCTGCCTTTGAAGAGGAAGAACAGTCAGGCTTTTGGTGACTTCAGTTAATGTCTCCATGACTATTCTGTTGTTCATACATAAAATACATAAATACATAAAATTGGTTCATACCCAGTCCAAATCTGAGTTGTTTGAAGCTCTAACTTGATCATGGCTTTTCACTTTCATATGTGAAAAGGGAGTTGTAGTTTCTGTCCTGATTCTGATTTGTACATAGCTACAGCAGCTCATGGGCTATTAAAACTACTCTGTCTCTCAAGGCAGCCTCTACAGTTTGAATGAAAAGCATATTGACCTCTAGTTTGCTGAAAAGTGCAGTTGTTGTTCTCAGTTTACTACAACTAATTTTTTGTAACAGAAAATGTGTGCATTCAGTGGAGCACCTGATTAAGAAATTAACATATGGTAGCAGAAACATTTTCATGAGGACATTTGTTTTACTTTGTCACCTGTGATGTTTTTCATGTTTTTCAACATGTTGCTGTTAGAGGGAAAAGAGACCTAGGAGCTTTGGTTAGTGTTACACTGAACAAAGAGCTGCTTTGCCAGATACAGCTCTTTAAAACTGTTTCAGCCTCTTGCATTAGGAGGCTTTTCACCCAGAGTGGCATGGGAATGAATTTTGTAGCAAGTTTAGGCCTGTGCAGAACATTTTTCTTTCCGAGAGTATCACAGCCAATTACACAGTTCCAGCTTTGCTGGACTACTGTTTATAAAACTGGTAATAGTCTCTAAACAGGACTCAGTGTCTGATTTTTTTGTTTCTGTCTCCTAGGTGTGGAGGATCAATACAAAACATGACATTATTTATGTAAATGGATCTGTTCCAGGACACACCAATTGTATGGTGAAGGTATGTTTGCTAGTTTCAATACTGGTATTAGTGACTCCTAAGCACTCTACTAATCAATTTACAAATGGAAAAACACTGGTAGGATGCAATTTTCATTTCTTCTGACAAATCTTGTACTGTTGAATTAAAGGGCAGTGGAATCAATTCTGTTAAAGACTGTGGTCAGCAGGGGCAGTGGGCACTTTAAATGGTTCCTTCTTAGATTTTCACCCATATACCTTATGACACACCAGCACAGATGCTGAGCTCTGTGATAAGTGTCTCCAGGCTATGTCCATCCCCTTTGAATGCTAACATGAGCCTGTAACATGGTGGTGAGATTTCCAGGTGCTATAACATTTCCAATGTTATTTAAATGTTGCATTAATGAACAGACATACACAGCAAGTCCTGCTTTAGAGCTTATTTAAAGTATTCCTATAGCAGTTAGCTTTCCAAGAAGCAGTTGAGGTACAGGAAGAGACAGCTGGAGCTCACAATAAAGACCTGAGTTACCTTTGGAATCAGTATAAACGTGGCAGTAGTATTTTCTGTGGCAATCTACAGGATTAATTTCAAATTTTCTGGAGGTTGTTTCAGTTTTCCATAGGCAGTCTTGAAACAATGGAGAGTCTAATAAGTGTTCTTATGATGTGAATAATTCACATCAATGTGAGAAAAGTGCTTTTTAAGGGTAGTTTTCAAAGTAGATTTTTCTTTCTAATTAGGTATATTCTACACACCTGCAAACACCATTTACTTGGAGGAAGTTCTTTCTGACTGAATAGAGTGCAGGGTATCAAATGTCTTTGCTATGAAGGACTGTAAAGAGTTTGGTATGCATATACCTGTGTATCTGACAGTTTTAAATCCTCAGAGGTATTGCAGGGATTTAAATGGTTCAGGACTTGAAAAGCTGAAGAGTTCATCAAATTCAGATGTTTTCAAATAGTTTATTATCTTCTATTTTACTGTGGACATCTGGTGTTTTGTCTCTTAGTTGTGGAGCAGAACTCTACAGCTACTGGGCCTTACGTACAGCAACCTTGCTTTCAAACAGGTGTTTTACCATAGAAAAATTATATTTCTCTCACTGCAAATAAGGCCTTTTTTCCTGGGCAAAGTACCTCTAAACTATTTCTGTTTTAATGTCTAGGCCAAGCCTGGGGAATGCATTGCACATTTCTCTTCCAATATAGTGAAAATTGCTTAAGAGATGTCCACAGAAAGTAGTTTTCAGGACAACTTCTGCAAAATTACTGGGCGTGACATAGAATTAAGAGTGTAGTTTGGCTGGCTTTTCATCTGTATATTGGACTGAATTACCTTTTCTTAATTGTGTTCAAAGTATTTTTTTCTAATCCTGAGGCATGAATCTGAACTTGGTTGCTCTATGTCAGTCTGAAATTTAATTAACTGGGAATTTATTTTAAGATGTTAGTTTTAAATTATAATGTATGCATGCAAACAGCATAATATAGCTGAAAAATTGAGAAATGTTTGATGCCCAGACTGTATTCTTTGATCTTAATTGTTTGCTTGAGCAAGAGTTAATTGCTGAAAAAGATTGTGCATCTTGTTATCCTAGTCATGCTGTTAAAATCCACACTTGGTGGCAAATGCAGGTACACATCTCACATGTTTTATCTGTAAGGATGCAACATCTTATAAAGCTGCTGAGACTGAATACAGTACCTGTTTTTTACCAGATTATAAATTTCATCTAACTAGACTCAATAAACTAATTTTTATTTCTGATTTTAAGTGAGTTAAGAAAATAAACATTTATTACACACCTGTAATATGAATTGGTTTTAAAAACAAAGCTCCAGGTTGTTATGTACACCATGATCTCATTCAAACAAATCTTTCTTCCCTTGCTGATCAGACACTGCACACTCTGCTTGGGGAAGAACATACGTGGGAAGAATGAGGCTTTTCTTCCTGTAGAGCTCCTTACTTAAGATAATAGATTATATGAAAGTTGACCAAAGTGCTCCAGACTCAAACTTGCATGAAATTTAATAATATATAACACTGTTTGAGATAAGGACACAGCAGTTGGTATTATTGCTATTTAGAAATAGGTTTCCAAAAATTGCTTCCAGTCTTACTTGGAGATTGAAGGCAGTATGTAGTAAGCAACATTTCATTCCAGTTCCTTGAGCTGGTGGATCCGTTCTGTGGCTTTTTCCTTGCATGAGCTGTATGAATCATTACATTGATTTTTTTCCCTTATTTTTTCAAATATATCTGCGAAGAGTAGAAAAGGCTTTAATTATAAAATTAGGTAAAGCAATACTATTTGGTTCTCTCTGGGAATTTTTTTCTCCATTAATCTTGCTGCACTCATCTGTGGTTTTTTTTAGTTTCCCTTATGCCTTTCTTCAGGGATGTTTTCTTGTTTGCTTGTAGACTTTGACTTCCAATATATTGTTGTATATTTGTTTGGATCTGTAGTTGGGGAGAAGAATTATGGGATATTAGTTGTTCTAATTACTGTTCACTGCACTAACTACCTGCCTGTAATTAAGTAGAAATAATATCTAGGGAATTTGAATCCATCTGTCTTTGAGCTCCAGAGTGAAATATTGCGTAATGCTTTCCTCTTTGTATGCCTCCAAGGCGAAGGCATTTGTGTTCAGTACCCACTCTGTGTTGCTTGGTAACCATTAAAACCATAGTGCACCTTTAAAGCATATATTTATTTTTTATGTTGTATTTTTGGAAACTTTGTGCATCAGCACTGTATTCAGACAGAGATGAAGCACTTAAATTTTTTAAGTTTTGTTTTCAGCAGAATAAAATTGCAGAATACTAAGATTGATGGATTTCTGGTTTTAATTAGAATCAGCTTTCATTTGATATTGCACACTGAAGTATGCAGATAAATAATTGACATCAGTAATGTTTCTAGCCAACTGGAAAACTAATGATAAAAAAGCTTACTTTAGCTTTTTTCACAATTGCAAGGTCTGGTAAAATAAAGAAACTTCAGCAGTGTGGTGGAATGCACAGAGCTCTTCTCTTAAAAGAGTAACATTGTGGAGTAAGCGTTTCTAAGTTTGTGTGTTGGGTCTACTAAGATTGCCTACCTTAGGAAACACCTGTTTCTTTCTGGGGTATCTTAGATCTCGGGGTCTGTTGTTACCATCTGTAATAACTTTCTCTTTCTAAAGATTATGGCTCTGGATTGCTCTCCCAAGTATATTGCCAAGAAGTTCTCTCTTTTGTCATTTGAGAGATATGCACAAGACTTAACTCCCTTTTTAAGTAGATGCCCTATAGTGGAGGGTAATAGAGTATATTATAATTTACAATGTTATAGTTTGTCTTTGATAGTGTTTTATACCTGCCCTAATTTTAAGGCACCTGATTTTCTTAGGATATTCAGGGTTGATCACTTTGAGTATATCACTTGGAGTGAAGGCAGAAATTCTGGCAAATCTTGTAGACTATTAGAGTTGTGTGGAAGTTTGGAGGGATTTTGTTTGGTTGGGTTATTTTTTAAGACAAAATAAGCCTGGTCAGAAATGGATATAATTCTTGGGTTCAATTATATGTCTAGCTTCAAAAATAGCAGAGAAGCTGAGTTAAGTGATGTATGACACTTCAGGAGCTTATTTCTAATAATTTTCTATATTTAAACATATTTTTATGTTTACCAAATAGCTTGCATTCTTTGCTGTGGTTGCTAACACAGCCTGAAGCCCTGTTAAACTACAGATGTGAATTGTAGCTTAGGCGTCAGTTTTTAATGCTTAAGACCACATTAAGCCCTTTTTGGTGATAGATTTCTGAGTTTGTATTTGTTTATACTACCCATTATGCTGTCGATATAGGGGACGTACATAAGTGCAGTTTATTAATTGTGTGCAAAACCCTTTATGACTGTTCTAAGGATTTAGTGACAAAAACCCAACCAGCTCCAATTTCAGCTTTCTCTAGTATTTTTCTTAATAAAATGACCTGTCAGAGAATACACTGTAGTGGTTATACCATCATCTGTATATACCATCTATCTGTAGTATAGTCTGCTGTAATATGTAGTGCTATTAACACAGAAGTTGAGTAAGCCAAGCATTTATAATGTGAGTTACACAGCAAATGCTTTTATGGATTGCAGTAACAGTTTGGACTGTGAGCTTGATTCCTTCTGTGGATGAAATTCACTGGATTTTAGTAACACGGCATTAAAAACTTACTCCTTTATTAAGGATGTTCTCAGAAGGTTTGTAGGAGAGCAGGAAGAGCTGTGCTGGTTCACCTGCACTTCTTTTATGTGTACATGCTTATACAGACAAGTGTAGCTGCTGCTGCTGCTCACCAGTGAACACCTTTATATGCTGTGAAATTATTGTTCAGGAATCTGAGGTAAGAGATACAGGAAATCTTTGGTATGCTAGGCCCTTCATAAATGTGAAGGGAGTAATTAAATAATTCTCTTGAGCAGACAGATAAATCATACCATGTTTTAGTTGCTAATCAATACTTTCAGATGTAAAATGAAGTTGAGTTCTACCTTTAAATAGGAATGATAATGATAATACCTGGTAATAGAATAATAATATCCAACTTTTTTTAATTTCAAGGAGAAAGAGTTTCATTTAGTTTGGTGGCAATGCTCTAAGATAGCACTTGTTTGCTTTAAATTGCATTTGAAAGCTATGAACGTAGAAAAAAATGGGAAAAGAGCAGTAGTTACACCACTCTAAAGAAATACTGCATCAATTATACCAATCAAAAGAAAGAGCATATCAGAAGGAAACTATTTTAACATCAGAGGTGGCCTGTACTTCTGGGATATGTCAAGCTTTTGAGGAGTTTGGAAGGGGCAAAATGAAACAGTGTTGTACTCCTCTGAGAGCAGCAATGGTCTGTTGAAGATGTTTCATGAGAATCTTAAAACTATTTTGAGAATTTTCCATATCACACTGGAGATATTATGTCCAAAATGCCCCTTTGCATTTATATGTAATTCATACAATGTTAAGTCCTGACAGAAATCTTAAATTCATTTAGGTTAACTAATGCAGGACTAAGATTAGACTGTTGGATTCACCTTCAGTTAAGAGCTGATGTCTTACTGCTGAATCCTGTCATAAGAAACTGTTTTAAGAAGAAATGGAAGGAAGATAGAAGGAAAACAAGCATTTCAATTCCTTTCATTTTTTGGGTGTCCAGAACTGCCTGCAGTGACACAGCCTATATATAACAGCACATACTATTTCACGATAAAAATAATCAAAAATAACAAAAACTAGGCATGAAAAACATTTAAATAAGATATACATTAAATGAGTAAGTTATCGTAAGTAAAATATTTATTCTAATCTTTCTAATACTAATTCATGTAGGGATCATGGGGGTTTTTGCTCTTGGCAGAGAAATCTTTTGGTGTGTAATAAGATTAGAGAGTAAAGGAGAAATTAGCAAGGGAAATAATAGAAAACCAGTGAAGCAATTACTATATGGTTCCATATAGTAAAAGAAACAGCCACAGCATATGAAAGGAAAGAAGGACATCTCTGAAGATGCCATCCTTCAGGTGGCACTGCTGAAGCTCTCTGACTGTTTCTTCTGAACTCACTGGTGCTGGAACTGTTCGGGAAAGGTCTGTGGACTTGGACCCCAGCCCAGTTCATTCCATCCAGATATGCAATGTAAATTGGAACCTAGGGGTCTGGCAGTTCACAAGGCCATAGAGAACACTTCTGTAGAAGAGGAATGATCTACTTGAAAAGCTACTTAGCCATCCTAACCAGTGCAATGCGTTGAGCCCCTCACCCCCTCATTAGTAAAAGATTTTCTTTTGTTTATCAAGCCTGCCCTTAAAAAATATTGGAATATCAAATTTATTTGACATTGATTTATTTAATGCCATCTGCAGGAATCCTCATGGACTTTGGGAAAGATTTGACTAATAGTGGATATGAATTTGGTATATACATTGCTGTCAGAACAGAGCATTCAGTGGGCATAAAATTTTTTTATTTAATTTTTGGCATAAATCAGAATTGTCCTAAATGAAGTCTTTGTCCAACCAAGTAAGAACAAGTGTCCTGTTCTTTAAAAGCCCACCAAAAACTAAGAGGAAGAGGTTATCTTCTCTCTACTAAAATTTTGTCTAATCTATTTGCACTTTTTTTTTTTAATCCACTTTACTATAGTGCCTAAAAGGGATTCTTACAGCTCAGGAGGAAGACTATATGTAACAACATAGAAAAGAAGAATTTAATTCTAAATCAAATCTAAGAATCTGTAGCTCATTTTTTTTTTTTTTTATTCAGAGATACCAGCCTTCTATCTGCTACTGCAGACAAACTGCTTTTTGCTGATAATTCTAGCTTCTAATTTTCTTCAGAGATTGGAGTTTCAGGGGCTAGATTTTAAATCTTTACACATGTAGAGAGGTCAGTAAAGGAATTTCTCTGTGGCTCCACAGTTCTTGCAAATGAACTGTCTTAGATGCTCACCTTCATCAAACTTAGGTACTGATTTCTGAGTGAAGAATTTTAGATGTTTAACTCTGCAGTCACTGAACAGCTCTGCAATAGCCAGTGATACAGCACATGCACATATCTTTGCAAAATTAGTTGCCATAATTAGTTTGCATCACAGATACAAGCACGTATCTTGTTTGTTGTAGAGGTGATTACACTGCATAATATAACTTGGAATATCATGTAGGAGCATACTGTGGGAAGTAAGCACTGTTCAAACAGGCTATAATTCTATACCCCTTATATTAATAACATTTTAAAATATTGAGCAATGAATTCGTGAGTGGGTTTTGATTCACTGTAATGAGAAATTCTAGGTTTTTTTTGTTTAATTTTGCTGATTTTTAAAATCTCTTTAAGGATGAGTACAAAAGGCTAAATTCAGTAGCTGGGGTTGATGTTAAAGTACCTGATGATTATATCTGGAATTCTTTAAACAAGTGCGATGTGAATGCTGTTAGGTTTTTCTCATGCATGCAAGCTGAGTTCTTTAAATTCTAGTGTATCACTGTCTGAAAATCTTCTGTAAGATTTATTAACTGTATTCTCCCCCTCCTGCTTTTCAGGTCAGAGATAGCAAATTGCCTACTTACAAGGACTGCAATATAAACCCTCCATTCCCTACGTTTTTTGCTGATGGAGATGAAGAACTGCCAGAAGACCTTTTTGATGAGGAGATTTTTCAGTTCACAGATCCATCTGTCACATTCGCATAATGTTCCTTGCATCTTTGAAAACACAGTTTTGTTCTTTTCATGTACATTGCAGTGCTGTATAAAAGCAAGCCTATGAATTGCAGTCTGGCCAACTGACTTAAACACTTCAGGTATTGTTATTTTGGTCAGGTAATCAGATTTCCCACTGTCAGTCTCAAACCTGTACTTAAAGCAACAGGTGAGTCTGAGGGACAGGTCGTAAAGCACACCAAACTGTGAGTCTTCAATGACCTCTTGTCTTCTGCCTCAGGCTGTGAAAACCTACACAATCCTGAAAAACTGTTGTTTTGAAGATGGTTCCAGTTCATTTTCTGAATGTGAACAAATTCTGTTTCTCTTTTATATGAAGTATACTGCACAACTCTTATCAATCAGAAAAAGATTCCAAATTTGCCTTGGCATCTGAAGTGGGGGGGGGAATCCATGAATAGTAATCCAAAATAAAACAAGAAAATGTATGAGCACTGTTTTGCAGAATGAGCTTGTTTTGCTTCCTTCTTTTATCCAGAGCTTTTTCTCTCCTTTTGCCTTTGTGTTGTTTAATGTTAAAGCAGATATCCAACAGATTTGTAGTGGATTCTTATGTTGTTATGGGAGAGCTATTTCAAAGAAAAGAGGCCAAATTTGAGGGATTTGTCTTTATGATAGTGCTCATTTTTCTATTCTACCCCATCTTTCAATAGTAGCTGGGATCATGCCCCTTCTACTTTTCATTTTGCGTGATTTATTATTTATAAGTTTGATCTTTTGGATTCTGTAAATCCTCTCACATACAGAAGTACCTTCGCAACTGTCAGTGCTGGCTGAGCAGTTTACTCACAAGCCCTGCAGTAGTTCAAGAATTTGTATACACTGTTAAATTAATACCCTGGCAGTGCTGTCTGCTCATCTTTGCAGCTTCATCCCAGGCTGTGAACTCCAAGGAAGCCACACGTTTATGGAATTACATTAAGGTGAATTCTGTATCAGATAATATTTCAGTGTGGGAAAAATCAACAAAGTACTTTGATTCCTGTTTCTTTGGTAAGAGAACTTTTCCTGGCATAAAAAGTGAAATTCCAATGATCTGATCATGTTGCTCTAGGGAATGACTGCAGCCAGGGAATGCTGTAGTTAATGTTGCCTTCCATTTGTTCAGTTTTAAAGTTTCTATTGAAGCCAATATTCTGTCAGAGTAATCTCTGCAGTTTTGATTTTGAAATGCATGTTGGGTGTGAGCTGTATGATTTTTTTAGGTGCTGCTTTATTCAGGTTCCATTTTTACTGAGATGTGCAGGTGAAACCTTTTCCATCTTCATCAAGAGTGCTTGGACATCAAAGACAAGAGCTTTCATAGCTCAACTGCAGACTGATGTCCCAAAGTATTTTCTGTAGAGCAGATGCAGGGTGAGATGGGTAAGATCTGCTGATGTGAGCTCAGACTAGTGCAACTCAGATTGGAACATAAACATCCATTAGATCCATTCTTCCATCAGGCATTGGAAGGCTTATGGTGTTTTAATTTTCCTTATTGTTCCTATCTCTGTTTTCTGCTCTTCTGAGTAAAGAGGGGACTTTGAGCAGGAGAAAGCCAGGCTGAATTTATTTCTAGGAGCAAAATTGTTCATAAGTATAATAACACCAAATGCTTTAAGCCCACCTATGAGTTTGTTCTTAGAAAAGGCTAAGGATATTTAATGAACTACTTTTAGACATTGTCAAAGGACCTGAATATTTATTCTTCGATGTGGCCAAGGTTGTGGCTAATTGAGAAATGCTTTCAAGCTTCAAATAAGACAAAATTAGGCAAATATCAAGTCCTCGTGTCTCAGGTGAGCCAACAGTTTCTTATGTGAAAGGATGCGTTAATTTTTGTGAAAAGGCAGACCAAGAGCTCTGTTGCAAGTAGATGTATCTGTGTGTTTTGTTGCTGTGTCTGAGTAATGACAGTTTAGAGCCATCAGGCAACATTTGCTCAGGCAAACAATAGCAGCAACAAAAATAAATTATTTCTCCATATTACCTGTAGTTATTAAAGAAGAGGGAAGTGACCTTATCCCTCTATACAACTTCCTAAAAGGTGGTTGTAGGCAGGTGGGGGGTGGTCTCTTTCTCCAGGCATCAACTGACAGAATGAGAGGACACAGTCTCAGGCTGTGCCAAGGGAAATATAGGTTGGATATTAGGAAAAAGTTTTTTACAGAAAGAGTGATGAAGTGTTGGAATTGTCTGCCCAGGGAGGTGGTGGAGTCACCATTCCTGGATGTGTTTAAAAAAAGGTTGGATGTGGCACTCAGTGCCGTGGTTTAGTTGTGTTGGGGCATGGGTTGGACTCCATGATCTTGAAGGTCTCATCCAGCCTAGTCACTGTGAATTCTGTGAACATATTACCAGGAATCTGAGTTCTGTAGGACAGCATCCTACCCAGTGTTGGGAGCTGTTATGCTGCCCAAGGAAGTAACTGCTGGCAAGCTCTGCTACCAGTACCGTAACTTGTGAAAGTTGCTACAAGCTCTCCCCCAAGACTTCTCCTCTCCAGGCTGAACAACCCCAGCTCTCCCAGCCTGTCTTCATAGGGGAGCAGATCCAGCATCTGATCACCTTTGTGGCCTTTTTCTGGAGTCACTCTATTAGTTAATTCCATGCCCTTGTGCTGTGGGTGAGGCACTGATCTGGAGTTTGCATGTCCAGGAGCTCATTAACCCTCTCCTTATGCTGTTGTGTTTGTTCGGGTTAGTGGGGTGTTTTTAACATCAGGAACATGCTGCTCTGGAGGAGGATGTAGGGTTAAGCTTTAGCTGTATCTGTGGCTTCATGGCGTGACTGCTTTGAAAAATAAACACTATTCAATAATAACCCCTCTCAGTGGTTCTGTAATAGTACGTGAATAAACAGTGTCAAGTTTACAATGTAAGTTGAAGGTAGAAAGACAGCAGGAAAAGGAAATCAAAACACTCATGTATCACTTGACAACATAATTGCAGCCATTGATGATAAACAAGGAGAGTTTATTTCTCTTGAAATACCATACTTTCAAATACCAATGCTCTGTCATTATGTGAGACCAATAAACATTTTTGTTTGCTATTTCCACTTCATGCAGAAAAATGTAGTTTTCTCTGTTAGCATTTAACAAATATTCTAGTGAACTGAAGGGGTGACAAGAGCTTATGTGTAAAATTCCACCCTCCTTACTGTTTCCTTGCTGAATTCCAGAAGTCCTGTAGGACTCCCATGATCCTAGAGGCCTTTGCCAACCTTGAAGACTCTGATTGAAAGAAAAGAAAACTGATTAGGATGTAAAGTGTGAGGGGGCTGATGTGCATAACCCAAACCCCAGTCAGAGGCTTCCCACTGGCAGCCCGGTGCTCCCCTGGAATGCCAAGGTGAATACTACTCAAAGGAAGTTGCTGGCCCCATCCTAAGGTGCTTCATAAAATCTAGTAATTCAGTAACCACAGTGAGGACAGTGGTGGGATTCATTAATTTTAGGATTGCTGTGTCTGTAGCTATGGCTTGGGTCATTCTCCTGATTGATGTCATTCCTCCCCTCCTCCTTGAGATTTTGCATGAGAATGCCTCGGTTTCATAACTGTAAACATTATTTGTACACGGTGTCTTCCAGTAATTAGCTCCTCTGCCCTTCAGTGCACAACTAGTGCTTATTAATTGCACTTAATGAGCATCTCTCACCAGCAGCAAATTGCCCTGCTCTGTTGCACACCTTAGCATGTAGCATAGCTTAGTATGATTTATTTATATAACACGCTTGAAGGCACTTAACAGCTGTAAGAACATGCAGGAATGCTGACCTTGGATGTTTATTGGTTTTGGAGACAACATGCAGTTTCTGGAGGAGGAATTTAAGTTAATTACATGTAGCCTTAATGTTATCACACCAGAAAAAGAATTCATTTCAATGGGTGCAGCTCTGCTGTGTCTGAAGTGTGGCAGCAAAACAGAAGATGGCAGTTTTTCCTGAGGAATGTGCACAGCCAAGTTTTGGTGTTGAAGTAGGAAGGAGGTACCTCAGGACTAGTAGTCTCCAAATTAATGCAGCCTTCTGACTTCTACCTCATTAAGTGCGCCAAAAACATGTGGGATGCAAACTGTAGAAAACTCACGCTGCTCCAGTCCCCTGCCCTTCTGTCAGTGTATCTTCCTTGCATCTCTCCCCTCATTTCACTGAAGTATATGCATGGTAAGTGGGAATATGGAACTGGAGTGGGCGTCATGAAAGATTTCCAGCAGCATCAATGTCCATAATGATGTGCTAGTTCTCCCTCATTCCAATAAGGTATTACATGTGGGGTCCCACCTTTAAGCATGGTTGATACGGCCTAGAATCATTTCTGCTGGAATACCAAAGACCTGAGCTGTGGTCTTGCTCTTCCCATCTAAGTGGCACCCACTGCCCATGAGTTGAAATCACTGCTTAGGAAGAATTCCATTTGGGGGTTAAATTTGTATTCACTGTCATGGCAGTAACTTTGAACACTACCACAGAACCCAGAAGAGAAAGTCAGCTGGGAAAATGAGTGCAGTTTTTAGTGTGAACACAGAAAATGGCTTGAATTATTTGCTGTAATGTAATGAGTATATGCTGGAGATTTAGCCCTCTGTGCTGTGGTGCTTCCTGCTGCTTCTCAAATTCCTATGTGTAAAATCTGGCATCAGATCAGATGTACATATCAAAGTCAAATTGTGCACAAATCCAGATTTGGGGTTTTGGAAGAAACAGGATTGCAAGGGGGGGATGTTAACAAAAAATTGATTTAAACCAATTTTGTATCAATCAAGTTGTACTGTATAATTTGCTTCACATTTCTCTGAGTGACACAGTCTTCCAGTCAGCAAAGTTTTCATTTGTCTGTTTTCATCTCCCCACTTCCGTTCTAAGTAGTAGAAAACCTTTAAAAACGTGGATTTTTTCAGGCACTCAAAACCTTGAAGGTCCCTTGGCAACCTCATGCTCTGTTGAAAAGCAGAATGACTCATAATCCACAGGCAAGAGTCATTTATACGTTTCTTTTTTAATTTCTAAAAGATCAAGATGAAAGATCAAGATTGCTGAATCAGAGTCATTTCTGCACGTGGCCTCTCTTGAAGTGATGTTCCACAAATTCCCACCATATCCTGCCTGAAATATTTTGTTGCTCCATGCAACAGTGAGCTTCCGGCACAAATTACAGTTTTGATGCCTCAGTCCTGCTCAATATAGATCCACACAGCACCACACAAAATACACATAAAAGTTTGGCAGTGGGCAATGAGAGATTTACTACATGGTACATATTTCAAGATCATGGTTCCTTTCTCTGCAGCAAGCCGGAAAGGCATTTTTGTCCACTGGTTTGTTTCAAATTGCACCACCTCTTCCCAAAGGGAGATTTTTCTCTGGAGTTACCATGTTCTTCCTTAGGCTAACTTGAAATTTTCCTTTATTGGAATATTTCCTTTATTTTAGAGCTGCATAT